GCGGGTGGTGACGCCCAAACCCACGCTGTCCCCGGAGCTGCGCCCCTGCCGGAAAGACGAGGCCATCTGCCAAAACAAGCAGTGCATCCCCCGGGAGTACATCTGCGACGGGGAACGGGACTGCCGCGACGGCAGCGACGAGCTCAATTGCGGTGAGTCACCAGAACCTCCAAGGACGGGCGCCGAAACTGACATTAATGGCTCCCGAAGGTTAACATTTATTGTTTCCCCAAAACAGGGACACCTACACCTTGCGAACCGAACGAGTTCAAGTGCCGAAACGGCCACTGCGCCCTCAAACTCTGGCGCTGCGATGGGGATTACGACTGTATGGACGGGTCGGATGAACTGGATTGCCGTAAGTGACAGGAATTCAGAGAATCAGGGAATCCTGGAGGGGACCCCCAAATCCCATCCAGTCCATCCCTAAGCTAGATAGATAGATAGATAGTATTTTATATATGGTATCAAATTAAGTCATGCCGGCCACATGACCTTGGAGGTGTCTACGGACAACGCTGGCTCTTTGGCTTAGAAATGGAGATGAGCACCACACCCCAGAGTCAGACATGACTGGACTTAATGTCAGGGAACTACCTTTACCTTTACCTTATCAAATTAAGCCGACTTGTTCACCGCCCAGAGTTGCCTTCGGGCTGATATGGGTGGGGTAGAAATAGTGTAAATAAATAAATAAAGAAAATAATACAATTCAAATATCCTAAAGTTGGAAGGGACCCCCAAGGCTCATCCAGTCTAATTAGGGCTGGGCAACCACGGAAAAATTTGTTTCTAAAATCGATTCGTTTTTTGGGGGTTTTTGCGTTTCGATTTTTTAAAGAATTCCGAAATTTTTCTTTTAAAAAGTTCGATATTTACGAAATTTCGTAAATTACAAAACAATACGAAACAATTTCGAAACAATAACGAATCGATTCGTTAATGGCGGGCGCGACCGCACAATACGCTATAAAACCTCCAAATGGGACAGGGGGAACTTCTGAAGCTTCCCTCTCCCTCTGTTGTTGACTGTTGGTGTGATAATTATATATTTTTTTTCACTGATAAAACAAACAACAACTATAAAACTTGCACCAGACATGCGGAAATAATAACGAAACAATTTCAAAACGATAACGAAACGAATATAAAACGAATTCGAAACAATTACGAAACGAATTTAAAAATTAGTTTCGTTTTTTAGTTGCTCCTGAATGGTTCATTATCGCTTCGTTATAAAAAAATAACGATTTTTTAACGAATTACGAAATTACGAAACGAAACCGCCCAGCCCTAAGTCTAATCCTAAAATAGATAGGTAGGTAGGTAGGTAGGTAGGTAGGTAGATAGATAGATAGATAGATAGATAGATAGATAGATAGATTATGGATAGTTAAATAAATGTACATTCATAAGCAGGAAAACAGGACCTTTTCTCAAGGCATACCCTTCAGGGAACAAAAGCACGAACCAGAACAGGAAACTTGAATCATGAACCTGAGAGCCGAGACAGGAAAGCCATCCTTGTGGCAACATTGTCTCCTCTGAGAACCATAAAGTCAACACCAATTAATTTAAGCCTAACCATGAGATCATGTTGACCACACCTGGGCTTCAAGGCCTTCTCACAGATGCCTTCTGAGCGTTTAATTAAGTGTATTTTTCACTCCTTCCGTTCTCAAACCTAATCTGGCTTCTCGGGAAAACTCCCCACCAACCTTCATTTCATTTGAATGATCACAGGAATGCAAAACATCGGCCTCAATGGCCAGCAATTCTCTCCTAGCACTGACAGACTCATCTCTTTGAAACCCATCAAACCCCTCATCCTCAGACATGTCAGAAAAATCTTCTGCCGGTTGCTGGGCAAAGTTTGCCCATGCCTGCTGTAGTCCTATGGTTTTGTTGGTGGCCCAATTTTAGGAAGGAATGATATATCAACCAGGGGGTTTTGCTCTTACTAACTCAGCTGTGTTCCCCACTGCAGCTACGAAGGGTCCCGGAGATACTTGTGGCCCTGGGCAGTTTGTCTGCGTCTCCACCCGCAACTGCATCCCGGCCAGCTACCAGTGCGACGAAGAGCCCGACTGCCCCGACCGTTCAGACGAGTTCGGATGCAGTGAGTGAAACGGGGAAACGAGAGGGGAATTTTTGGGTTGAGGTGGCAAAAACACGGCATGCTTTTAGAACAACCTTTCCCCAAATGTCGTAAGCAGCAATAGCTTTGCATCCTCACACCAAAGTGATGAGGATGCAAGAATTCTGTGATCTGAAGTCTAAACGGTTGTTCTATCTCACTTCCAAAAGAGCTGATGGCAACACGTTGCATCTTGCAGTTACCAAAGCTAATCAGATTGCAAAGATAAGATGCCATGGCTCCACACTCGCATGGAATTAATGATGTGGTAGGGGAACAAGCTGTAGAGCAGTGGTTCTCGGCCTTCCTAATGCCGTTACCCCTTACTTAATACAGTTCCTCATGTTTTGGTGACCCCCAACCATAAAATTATTTTTGTTGCTACTTCATAACTATAATTTTGTCATTTGGGAGTTGTAGTTGCTGGGATTTATAGTAAACCTACAATCAGTGAGCATTCTGAACTCCACCAATGATGGAATTGAATCAATATTGGCACATAGAAATCCCATGACCAACAGGAAATACTGGAAGGGTTTGGTGGATGCTAACCTTGAGTTTTGGAGTCGTAGTTCACCAACATCCAGAGATGTAGGTGAACTGTTTGGATCTGGATCAAACTTGGCATGAATACTCAATATGCCCAAATGTGAACAGTGGTGGAGTTTGGGAAAAATAGACTTGACATTTGGGAGTTGTAGTTGGTGGGATTTATAGTTCACCTACAATCAAAGCATTCTGAACCCCACCAATGATAGAATTGGACCAAACTTCCCACACAGAACCCTCATGACCAACAGAAAATGCTGTTTTCTTATGGTTTTTGGTGACCCCTCTGACACTCTCTTGCGACCCCTCCAGGGGTCCCGACCCCCAGGTTGAGAAACACTGCTGTAGAGCGATAGATTATGTTCCAATATCCCCACCACTTTTGCTTTTGATTTACCAATTCATGACTTTGCCACAATCAACCATCTTCCTTTAGTGTCCTCTGTTCAAACTTTCAAACTTTGAATCCGCAAAATACTATTCGTATACAAGTTTGAAAAGCTCGTCACAAGCCGTGGCCACTTTTAAGGCTTTTGTAGAACAGCCCTCTGTTTCTAATTTAAGACAGAATGTAATCATGGCAAATAGTCCCGAGTTTGTCCAATGGGAAAACCCTCGACCCTGGTGGAGGTACAAGTAGTTCAAATAATTCTGGGATTGGTATGGATTTATTTATCGTGTCATCAGCAACCATACCATTGTATTACATTTCTAACAGAACAAAACAAACACACAGATTAAAAAAAAAAACACAAATTTTGCAAACTTGGTAGTTGGTTAAATGTCCTTTGACCAGTATCTGGCCACTTGGAGTGCCTCTGGTGTTGCCGCAAGAAGGTCCTCCCATTGTGCATGTGGCAGGGCTCAGGGTTGCATTGCAGCAGGTGGTCAGTGGTTTGCTCTTCTCCACACTCGCATGTCGAGGATTCCACTTTGTGACCCCATTTCTGAAGGTTGGCTCTGCATCTCGTGGTGCCAGAGCGCAGTCTGTTCAGCGCCTTCCAAGTCGCCCAGTCTTCTGTGTGCCCAGGGGGGAGTCTCTCATCTGGTATCAGCCATTGGTTGAGGTTCTGGGTTTGAGCCTGCCACTTTTGGACTCTTGCTTGCTGAGGTGTTCCAGCGAGTGTCTCTGTAGATCTTAGAAAACTATGTCTAGATTTAAGTCGTTGACAGTGCTGGCTGATACCCAAACAGGGGATGAGCTGGAGATGTCTCTGCCTTGGTCCTTTCACTATTGGCTGCTACTTCCCGGCAGATGTCAGGTGGTGCAATGCCGGCTAAGCAGTGTAATTTCTCCAGTGGTGTAGGGCGCAGACACCCCGTGATAATGCGGCATGTCTCATTAAGAGCCACATCCACTGTTTTAGCGTGGTGAGATGTGTTCCACACTGGGCATGCGTACTCAGCAGCAGAGTAGCATAGCGCAAGGGCAGATGTCTTCACTGTGTCTGGTTGTGATCCCCAGGTTGTGCCAGTCAGCTTTCGTATGATATTGTTTCTGGCACCCACTTTTTGCTTTATAATGCTTCTTGTAGGTCAGAGCATGGTCCAGAGTGACTCCCAGGTATTTGGGTGTGCTGCAATGCTCCAGTGGGATTCCTTCCCAGGTAATCCTCAGAGCTCGGGATGCTTGTCTGTTCTTAAGGTGAAAGGCACATGTCTGTGTTTTAGATGGGTTAGGGATCAGCTGGTTTTCCCTGTAATAGGCAGTAAGAGCACCTAGAGCTTCGGAGAGCTTCTGTTCAACCATCTCAAAGCTCCCTGCTTGAGCGGTGATGGCATGATCATCAGCATAGATGAAACTCTCTGTCCCTTCTGGCAGTGGCTGGTCATTTGTGTAGATGTTGAACATGGATGGAGCAAGCACGCTCCCCTGAGGCAGGCCGTTCTTCTGTTTCCGCCATCTGCTTCTCTGACCCTAACTCAACAAAAAAGCTCCTGTTTTGTAGCAGGTTTCCTATGAGGCGGGTGAGGTGGTAGTCCTTTGTGATATTATACATTTTTCTCAGGAGGAGGCGGTGGTTTGACAGTATCATAGGCTGCTGACAGGTCTATGAAGACAGCTCCTGTGATCTGCTGCCTTTCAAAGCCATCTTCTATGTGCTGAGTCAGGTTCAGCACTTGCGATGTATGGATTGTATTAATGAGTAGTTGTTGTTAGGGATCAAGTAAGAGATAGATTGAAAGTTTTCCTCCTTTTTTGTCCCAGTCCCTCCGCAGGTGGTCACTCCACCCGAAGAGCTGATCCAGGCCTCTCCAGGCGACACGGTCCGCTTCTCTTGCGTGGCGGTCGGGGTGCCCACCCCCATCATCACCTGGAGGCTGAACTGGGGCCACATCCCCAGCAACCGCAGGTGAGCCAAGGGAGATCTCTGTCATGGGATGTGCTGGTACATGTCAAAAGCGGGATTTATAGTGTTTTGTGGCTCAGCAAGCTGCGAGGGATTTTTCTGATGTTTCAGATGATGGCTTTCAACTCCCAGAATCCTAACAGCTGATAAACTGGCTGGGATATCTGGGAGTTGTAGGCCAAAACACCTGGGGACCCACAGGTTGAGAACCACTGTGTCAGTGGATGTCTGTGACCACATGTCTATTAGAACTGTATTTTTCTACACAGTAATACACAATGGTCCAATGATCCAAGCAGTCCATACTTCAGGAAATAAAGCCCGACTGCTCATTGGAGGGAAAAATAGAGAGGCCAAGATGAAGTACTTTGGCCACATCCTGAGAAGACAGGAAAACTTAGAGAAGACAATGATGCTGGGGGAAATGGAAGGAAAAAGGAAGAGGGGCCAACTAATAATAATAATAATAATAATCTTTAAGTATATACCGCTCCATCTCCCCGAGGGGACTCAGAGCGGGCAAGATGGATGGATGGCATCCTTGAAGTGATTGGATTGACCTTGAAGGAGCTGGGGGTGGTGACGGCCGGCAGGGAGCTCTGGCGTGGGCTGGTCCATGAGGTCACGAAGAGTCGGAAACGACTGAACGACTGAACAACAAATGCACAATGGAGTTTACAGACAATGCATTTCTATCTCACAGAGAATTATCTACCTAACACATAGAACATAGACAGATACTCGCACTGAGTCACACAGGAGAGAGAAAGATGGATTCTGGTATCCAAGGGAGTGGAGCTGATGCAACCCCTTTGCAATAACCCTCACATAGTTGTGACGGTTCGGGCCCCGCCTATCTCCGCGATCGCATCTCCTTCTATGAACTGGCACGAGCTCTAAGGTCTTCCAGGGAGTCCCTCCTCTCTGTCCCACTACTGTCTCAAGCGCAGTTGGTGGGGACGAGAGAGAGGGCCTTCTCAGTGGTGGCCCTCCATCTCTGGAATGCCCTTCCAAGGGAAATAAGACAGGCCCCATCCCTCCCCTCCTTTTGTAAGAGCTTGAAGACCTGGTGGTTTCAACAAGCCTTTGAAAATGACCAGTTCTAACTCAGCCCTACACATTGTCGAATACGGCCTTATTCTTCCTACCAATTACCCAGATTCTTTCCTCTAATCGGTCCCGGAATGAACAGCCACAGACCCGTACCTAATATTATTGTTGCCTGCCATAGCATTGCACTTAATTCCCGCCTTGAACAGGCAGGATTACTTTTAATATATGTGTGTTATGGCGACAATTTTTATGCTTATATTTTGTTTTGTTAATCTTATGGTTATGTTGTTTTTACTTTGTATGTTTTGTGATGTTACCTGGGAACTGCTCTGAGTCCCCTCGGGGAGATGGAGCGGTAAATAAATAAATAAATAAATAAATAAGCAAGTCCACAAGAATCCTTTCCAACACATAGCACCCAACACACGAACACTCATCAATACCTTGCCTACTGCAAGGACCCATCACCCCTGAACCTGCTATATCTTTCCCCTATCCTGACTGGGACTTTCTGATGCAAGCAGAATTTTGGGAAATGCAGTTTAGGGCATATGGCTCCTCACGTTCCCAAACTACATTTCCCAGAGTTGAGTGTTTTCTCAGTCTTTTCCCCAGCGAACTCTACTCCCTGCTTTCCTTCTCCTAATGGTGAGATAGCATTAATTTAAAGAGGAATGGGAACCTTTTGAAAATGAAACTGACCTTGGGAGGCTTCTGAACATTACAAAACCTAAGAATCAAAACTTACAAACGCTTATCACACAAACGCTCATCAACACCTTGCCTTCTGCAAGGACCCATCACCCTGAACCCACTTTTATTTACAAATCATCATCAGAAGATGAACTGACCACCGCCCCATCATTATCCCCCACAGCTGCTCCCAGCTCTTCACATGAATTCCCTTGTCCTTCCCTCCAATTCCTCCATCTTCTGTCAAGACTTAGGTCCCACCAAGACTCAGTTGGATCCCCTGATTGCCAGTCTTCACCCCAGAGAACCCCATAAAAGTTAGGTGCCATCTCTATGCAGATGACACACAACTCTATTACTCATTTCCACCCAACTCCAAGGAGGCCTCTCGGGTGCTGGACGAGTGCCTGGCCGCTGTGTCTATCTGGATGAGGAGGAACAAGCTGAAGATCAATCCCGACAAGACAGAGATCCTCCTGGTCGATGGTAAACCTGACCGGGGTACAGGGTGGCAACCTGTGTTGGATGGGGTTACACTCCCCCTGAAGCCACAGGTCCTCAGTGTGGGAGTCCTCCTGGATTCATCGCTCACACTTGAGGCTCAGGCGTCAGTGTCTGGGAGGGCTTTCGCACAATTGAGACTCGTGCGCCAACTGCAACCATACCTCGCGAAGGCTGATCTGGCCGGGGTGGTCCATGCCTTGGTCACCTCTCGATTGGACTACTGTAATGCGCTCTACGTGGGGCTGCCCTTGAAAACGGCTCGGAAGTTCCAACTGGTCCAACGGGCAGCAGCCAGGATGTTAACTGGTGCTCCTTACAGAGAGAGGTCAACCCTCCTGTTCAAGGAGCTCCACTGGCTGCCGTTTATTTTCCGAGCCCAATTTAAGGTTCAGGTGCTTACCTACAAAGCCCTAAATGGTTTGGGACCATCCTACCTGCATGACCGCATCTCCGTTTATGAACCCAGGCGTTCACTTTCGGTCATCCGGAGAGGCCCTGCCCGTGATTCCGCCTGCGTCGCAAGCACGTTTGGTGGGGACACGAGACAGGGCCTTTTCTGTGGTGGCCCCCCCGACTCTGGAACACCCTCCCCAAAGATCTTAGACAGGCCCCTACGTTGGCAGTCTTCAGAAAGAACTTGAAGACCTGGCTGTTCCGATGTGCCTTCCCAGAATAGGAAATCTCCAATAACAAGTCCCAGAAGCACTTTATTAGAATTAAGATTGCCGCACACTGCACATACCCTATAATCCTTACATATCACCTGTCACATCAGCACTTTTAATTCTGTACCCATTACTCCGGCCCGGCCCAGTTTTACTGTGTTTTGGTGTATTGTTTATTGTTTGTTGTTTAATATTGCTTTAATTGTTTTTAATTTGCTTTAGGTTTTGTATTGTTATGTTGTGTATTGAGGCCTTGGCCTTTGTAAGCCGCATCGAGTCCTTCGGGAGATGCTAGCAGGGTACAAATAAAGTTAATAATAATAATAAATAATAAGAGATATCACTAGTTGTTGGCTCCTCACAAATAGCTTGCACTTCTCTTATCTTAGTCCAATCCATGGTGTCTCCTTCTTCTCCTTCACTCATTGACCCATCATCCCCAGAGAATCCCTCAAACGACTCCTCATCTGTAGGTGCTGTAAATATGTCCCGGATCCTCTTTCTCTGCTGCTCATCATCAGATTCCTGCTCCCAAGTAACCCTCCCCCCCCCTTCTGATACCGATACTACTGTTTGTAACATTACTCACAGGCTCTACTACAACATATTACATCATGACATTCACAGTCATTACCCAGGTGCTATCAATGTTCCCCATCGTGGTCCCAGTGAATCGCACATATGGTATTTTCTGCGCCTGAGCAGACAGCTTCGGATGAAAAGACCTATCATATGTGTGAATTCACAGGTGACCACTCGGGGAAATACGGTTACAGGTAAGCAGCCCATATTTCCACATGTTCATCAAACAATATTTTATTCTTGAACTAGGAAATCTTTGCCATTTCTACCTAACTCATGTTTCGACTCAATGGGGCGCTCTGACCGTCTCTCCCTCCCTCTCCCCTGCAGAGTGTCCATCTCCAGCGAGAACGGCCGGGGGACGCTGGTTATCCGGGACGTCAAGGAGGCTGACCAGGGGGCCTACACCTGCGAGGCCATCAACGCCCGAGGGATGGTCTTCGGCATCCCCGACGGGGTGCTGAGTCTCACCACTGGAAGAGGTCAGAAGGCAAAGGATAGAGGTCATGGTCCATCCACTTCCTCTCTCTGTGGATCCATATCTTTCCCCTTATCTATCTATCTATCTATCTATCTATCTATTCTATCTATCTATCTATCTATGTATCTATCATCTATCTATCCATCCTCCATCCTATCCATCCATCCATCTCTATTCACCGCTTTTCTTTCTTTTATCGTGTATAACCATCTGGAGTGCTGATGGGAGTCATGCCTGTTCTACTCTAGTTCCATCCATTCCATCCATCCATGCACTGCCTTTTGCTCCCTCCATCCATCCATCCATCCATCCATCCATCCATCCATCCATCCAATCCATCTCTATCTATCTATCTATCTATCTATCTATCTATCTATCTATCTCTATCTCTATCTATCTATCTATCTATCTATCTATCTATCTATCCATCCATCCATCCTTCCATCTATCTATCTATCCATCCATCCTTCTGCCTATTTCATCTATCTATCTATCTATCTATCTATCTATCTATCTATCTATCTATCTATCCATCCATCCAGCCATCCATCCATCCATCCATCCATCCCATCTACTTATTCTATCTATCTATCTATCTATCTATCTATCTATCTTAATCCCTCAAATGGGAGGGGAGGATACATACGTGTAGCAATCGTAAACAAATGTATGTATGTATGTATGTATCTATCTATCTATCCATCCATCCATCCATCCATCCATCCATCCATCCATCCATCTATCCATCTATCCATCCATCCACCTACCTACCTACCTACCTACCTACCTGTCTATACATCTATCCATTCATGCATCTTTCCATCCATCCATCCATGCATCTATCCATCCAGCTATGTCTGTCTGTCTACCTACCTACCTACCTACCTACCTATCTATACATGTATCCATTCATGCATCTTTCCATCCATCCATCCATGCATCCATCTATCCATGCATCTATCCATCCATCCATCCATCATCCATCCATCCATCCATCCATCTATCCATCCCTCCATCCATGCATCCATCTATCCATCCATCCATCCATCCATCGCATCTTTCCATCAATCCATCCATCTATCCATACATGCATCTATCTGTCCATCTGTCTATCTGTCTTGTCTGTCTGTCCGTCCATCCATCCATCCATCCATCCATCCATCCATCCATCTATCCCTTCATGCATCTATCTATCTCTATCTATCTATCTGTCTATCTATCTTTCTATCTATATCTATCTAATTATCTAGTGTATCGTATCTCACATTTGTATACATTTATCTCTTTTCTATTATCCCTCAGTCTCCTTAGCTATCTCCTTATCTATCTTCTATCTCTCAATTGCCATATCAACTTATCCATCCACCTCTATCTACTAGCTCTCCAATTATTGGCGATCTGCATTCTCGGTGGTCATCCATCTATTCGTATCTTAGATTTGTATCTTTCTTTCTCTTTATCTTGTTTTGCCTGCGTTTGGAAGCACACTAAACCTCTCTGTTGGAGGTTGAGCTCTCCTTTTTCCTTTTGGAAGGTCTTTCCACCAAAGTTGGGTGGGCCTCTTTCGTGGGTGCTTTCATTTTGCTCTCCTTCCGGACAGAAGAGGGTTGGACGGGGCGGTCCTTAGGATCCCTGCCTTTTTCGCCTTCTTTTCTGTCTCCTCCTCTTCTTCTCCATCTTCTATTTCTTCTTATGCTCTTTCTCCTTCTTTTTATCCTCTTCTTCTCTTTCTCCTCATTCTCCTTCTTCTCTTTCTCCCCTCCTTCTCCTCCTCTTCTCCTTCTTCTCTTTCTCCTCTGTCTTTTCTGCTTCTTCTTTTTCTTTCTTCCTCTTCTTCTCCTTCTCTTCTTCCTTCCTTCTTCTCTTCTTTTCTACTCATCTTCTCCGCCTTTTCTCCTTTTATTTCTCCTTCCCTTTTCCTTCTTCTCTTTCTCCTCTTTTCCTTCTCCTCTTCTCCACTTTTTTCTCCTTCTTCTCTTTCTCCTCCTCTTCTTCTCCATCTTCTATTTCTTCTTATGCTCTTTCTCCTTCTTTTTATCCTCTTTCTCCTTTTTATCCTCTTCTTCTTCCTTTCTCCTCCTCTTTTTCCTTCTCCCTTCTCCTCTTTTTCTCTTCTTCTCTTTCTCCTCCTCTTCTTCTCCATCTTCTTTCTTCTTCTCTCTTTCTCCTTTTTTTTCTTTTTCCTTTTCCTTTCCTCCTCCTCCTCTTCTTCTTTCTTCTTCTCCTTCTCTTTCTCCTCTTTTCCTTCTTCCTTTTCTTTTCCTTCTCATCTTCTCTGCCTTTTCTCCTTTTCTTTCTCCTTCCCTTTTCCTTTTCCTTCTTCTCTTTCTCCTCCTCTTCTTCTCCATCTTCTATTTCTTCTTATGCTCTTTCTCCTTTTTATCCTCTTTTTCCTTTTCTTTCTCCCCTCCTTCTCCTCCTCTTCTTCTTTCTTCTTCTCCTTCTCTTTCTCCTCTTTTCCTTCTTCCTCCTCTTCTTTTTCTTCTCATCTTCTCTGCCTTTTCTCCTTTTCTTTCTCCTTCCCTTTTCCTTTTCCTTCTTCTCTTTCTCCTTCTCTTTTCCTTCTTCTCTTCTCCATCTTTTTTCTCCTTCTTCTCTTTCTCCTCCTCTTCTCATTCTCATTCTCCTCCTCTTATCTGCCTTTCCCTCCTCTCTTTCTCCTCTTCTTCTTCTTTTCCTTCTTTTACTTATTTCTGACATTTCGACCCGGTCCTTCTCACTCCCCGACGGATGACTCAGGGCAGCTTACAACGGCAGCCATTCAATGCCTTGCTTCCTGACTTTTTTCCTGTTTTGAACACAGGCCCGTGCCCCGAAGGCCACTTCCACACAGAGCTGACCGGCCAATGCCGTCCCTGCTTCTGCTTCGGCATCACCAAGGCTTGCCGCTCCACCAGCCGCCACCGGGAGCAGATCCGCCTGCGCTTCGACATCCCGGACGACTTCAAAGGTGGGATGGATGGATTGAGGTTTTTAGATACAGGCGTGGCAGCATTCAGCTCTTGCCGGTGCTTCTGAGCATGAGCAAAGTGCTTCCTGGCGGAGACTTATTTATTTCTCGTCAATTATATTACATTTCTAACAGAACAAAGCAAACAAACCGAGAAAACACAAAATGTGTGAGTTTGGTAGTTGATTAAATGTCCTTTGACGAGTATCTGGCCACTTGGAGTGCCTCTGGTGTTGCTGCAAGAAGGTCCTCCATTGTGCATGTGGCAGGGCTCAGGTTGCATTGCAGCAGGTGGTCAGTGGTTTGCTCTTCTCCACACTCGCATGTCGTGGATTCCACTTTGTAGCCCCATTTCTGAAGGTTGGCTCTGCATCTCGTGGTGCCAGAGCGCAGTCTGTTCAGCGCCTTCTAAGTCGCCCAGTCCTCTGTGTGCCCAGGGGGGAGTCTCTCATTTGGTATCAGCCATTGGTTGAGGTTCTGGGTTTGAGCCTGCCACTTTTGGACTCTCGCTTGCTGAGGTGTTCCAGCGAGTGTCTCTGTAGATCTTAGAAAACTATGTCTGGATTTAAGTCGTTGACGTGCTGGCTGATACCCAAACGGGATGAGCTGGAGATGTCTCTGCCTTGGTCCTTTCACTATTGGCTGCTACTTCCCGGCGGATGTCAGGTGGTGCAATACCGGCTAAGCAGTGTAATTTCTCCAGTGGTGTAGGGTGCAGACACCCGTGATAATGCGGCATGTCTCATTAAGAGCCACATCCACTGTTTTAGTGTGGTGAGATGTGTTCCACACTGGGCATGCATACTCAGCAGCAGAGTAGCATAGCGCAAGGGCAGATGTCTTCACTGTATCTGGTTGTGATCTCCAGGTTGTGCCAGTCAGCTTTCGTATGATATTGTTTCTGGCACCCACTTTTTGCTTGATGTTCAGGCAGTGCTTCTTGTAGGTAAGAGCACGATCCAGAGTGACTCCGAGGTATTTGGGTGCGCTGCAATGCTCCAGTGGGATTCCTTCCCAGGTGATCTTCAGAGCTCGGGATGCTTCTCTGTTCTTGAGATGAAAGGCACATGTCTGTGTTTTGGATGGGTTGGGGATCAGCTGGTTTTCCCTGTAATAGGCAGTAAGAGCACCTAGAGCTTCGGAAAGCTTCTGTTCTACCATCTCAAAGCTCCCTGCTTGACAGAGGCTGACAAACCATGAGATGGTGGCAGAACCTTGAGAGAGAGATATCTTGCACTCTCTGGGTGGGATGAATCAAAATGCGGAGATAAATTGCCATGATTCCACACTCACACGGAATTAATGACGTGGTAGGGGAACAAGCTGTCGCATTATGCAAGTCAAGACCCAAGAGTCTGTTCTTGACTGTCGTTGGCTGTTCTCCCAAAGACATACCAATGGCTTTGATCTTCCTGAGAATCAAAGAATACGATTCTGAAATAAAACAATCTGATAACACAGAGGGAATATCGCTATCAGGGCCTGGAATGCAACAGGCACACACAAGAGAATCTTGAAAATATGAGGGTTGGATGAAAAGTAATGCCTCCACCTTTGTAACTCCTCAACAGATGGCAGTATTGGTATGCGACAGGTACTGGTTTGTTCAGTAGACTCTCCTCTACAATTCCATTTTGGCAGGAAGCCTTAGAATTTAACGGTTGTGTTGTTAAAGTGAGAAGTATGGAACCCTGTCCAGACGGTCGGTCAATCTGACTTAAGCTACGTATGCAGCAGGTACTGGCTTGTTCAGTAGACTCTCCTCTACAGTTCCATTTTGGCAGGAAGCCTTAGCATTGAACAGTTGTGTTGTTAAAGTGAGAAGTATGGAACCCTGTCCAGACAATCGGTCAATCCGACTTAAGCTATGTATGCAGCAGGTACTGGCTTGTTCAGTATACTCTCCTCTACAATTCCATTTTGTCAGGAAGCCTTAGCATTGAACGGACCTTCGTAACTCCTCAACAGATGACAGTACTGGTATTCAGTTGGCTTGTTCAGTAGACTCTCCTCTACAGTTCCATTTTGGCAGGAAGCCTTAGCATTGAACGGACCTTTGTAACTCCTCAACAGATGGCATTACTGGTATGCGGCAGGTACTGGCTTGTTCAGTAGACTCTCCTCTACAGTTCCATTTTGGCAGGAAGTCTTAGCATTGAACGGTTGTGTCGTTAAAGTGCGAAGTATGCGCAGGTGGTCAGTCAATGCAGAGGTAGTAATCTCACTACCTCTGAGGATGCTTGCCATAGATGCAGGTGAAACGTCAGGAGAGAATGCCTCTAGAACATGGCCATATAGCCCAAAAAACCTACAACAACCCAAAACGTTGACAGATTGATTGAGGATGATTGTCGTATCACTCAGAGAGAAATTTCAAGCATAATCGGCATTTTACAAGAACGTGTGGGTCACATTATTGCTTTGCTTGGCTATTGGAAGATCTGTGCATGATGGGTACCCAGGATGCTGACGCCTGAAATGAAGGCGCACAGACTTCTGAGACAGGATCTCACCACCGTATGGCATCCTCTGTCTGACTTCCATCTGTTCCCAATAATAAAAGAAGATCTGAAGGGGCATAATTATGCTTCTGATGAAGACGTTGAGGGAACTGTGAGACGCTGGTTGAGGAAACAGAGTATCGACTTCTTCTGTGACAGCTTCAGAAAATTTGTTCATCGTTGTGAGAAATGTATCCAATTGTTTGATGGTTATGTCGAAAAGTGAATAGTTGTAGTTAAAGAGGATTATTTTTGTGTTTGATTTATTAAAATATTCCCATCCAAACCCAATGTTGTGGCTCAGTTTGAGCCTGAGCTTTCTGAGCCTGAGTTTCCTCAGGACGAGGAGGATGATGGGTTACAGATGAAGGTCATGATTTAAGTGAAACTTCACAGCTACAGGTGGAGGAGTCGGCCGCTCCATCTGGGAGCTCAGTGCCTCTCAGTTCCCAGGCTGGCCAGTCCCATGATAATGAGTTATTCAGCCTTGAAGGTGATGGGGATTTGATTAGGGAGGACCGTTTGCAATTAAGGGTACGCCGAAGTGCTCGGCTTGCCAACAAATGGGAAGTTCGAAGTCAACGTAATGCTTTCATGCTAGGGAAACATATTTAACGATCTGATTGAAGTCAATCCTTTGTCAGTACAATGTTGCTTACACCCTTTTAACTTCTTTGGAATTGCCTCGGCTTTTGGGGAAAGCTTTTGGCTCTTTGGGACTTTGTTTTTGATCTTGGGTTTTGGGGACTTTGTCATGCTGCCATGGATTCTTGTTTGACCAATGCTTGTGGATTATACTTCATGTCATTTGCCTTTGGACCTTGGCAAACTCTGCCTTTGCATCTAAGACTCTGTTTTGTTATTGAACTTTTGCAACCTTATTTCTACGTTTATGTTTTTGCTTTTTCTTCAATAAACTACAAAACCTACAGCCTTGGTGTGGGGTGTGGTTCTGAGCAAGGTGAATGTATCCTGAGCTGCGACACCCAAGTAACGAAGGTGGAGTCAGGGGGAGAGCTTTAAACTGGCTCCCTTCCTTCCTTCACAACCGTGGACAGCGAGTGGAGAGGGGAGGCCTGGTCTCTGAGAGGTCCCCTCTCTCTCTCTTGTGGGGTTCCTCAGGGGGCCATTCTCTCCCCTCTGTTGTTTAACATCTCTATGCGACCACTTGCTCAGCTGGTTCGAGGTTTTGGGCTGGAGTGTGACCAGTACGCCGATGACACTCAGCTGGTGCTGAAGATGGAAGGCCGACCGGACTCTGTACCCGATTGTTTCCATCAGTGCCTCGAGGCCGTGACTGGATGGCTGCGTGCCAGCAGGTTGAGGGTGAATCCAGCAAAGACGGAGATCCTATGGCTGGGTCAACCGGGCAGTGGGGACATCCATCTGCTCACCCTGGATGGCGAGGCGCTATGCCCGTCCTTGTTGGTCAAGAGTCTGGGAGTCCTTTTGGATCCTCTGCTGAGGATGGAGGCCCAGGTCTCTCTCCGCCGTGAGCAGAACCGCCTTCTTTCATCTGCGGCAGGCTAGACGGCTGGCCCCCTCCCTGTCCAGGGACGACCTAGCTACGGTGATCCAGGCCACGGTCATCTCAAGACTGGACTACTGTAACGCCCTCTACATTGGCCTTCCTCTGTCGGTGATCCGGAAGCTCAAGTTGGTACAAAATGCAGCTGCTCAGCTTCTTGCAGGAACTCCGATGAGATGCCACATCACCCCAATCTTACTACCTTGCATGGTCTGGGGCTGATGTACCTGAGGGACTGCCTCACCCCCTCCCAACCCCAGAGATCCCTCCGTTCTGAGGACCAAGATCTATTGGAAATTCCCAGTGTCAAGACCTTGCGTCTAACAGCAACCAGACGCAGAGCCTTCACAGCAGTGGCACCATCGCTCTGGAATACTCTGCCATCTGAAGTCTGTGCCTTGTGGGACTGATCAGCTTTCCGCAGGGCATGTCAGACATACCTGTTTCAACAGGCTTTTAATGTTTGATGTTGTTTTTAAATTGTTTTAAATTGCTTTTAAATTTTGTTAGATTTTAGCTATTCTTGTAAGACGCTCCGAGCCCCAGGGGAGTGGCGGCATAGAAGTTTAATTAATTAATTAATTACTTTTCATCCAACCCTCGTACCTTTAATCCCAGGTTACAACATTGCTGCATTCTTCCACCTGGGTTGAACTCGTAGCATGGATGTTTCACTGCCTTCCTTCCCCTTGACTTCCTTCAGGTGTGAATGTGACCACTCCTTCCCAGCCCGGCTCGCCCCCGCTCTCCTCCACGCAGCTCCAGATTGACCCTCATCTGCAGGAGTTCCAGCTGGTGGACCTCAGTCGCCGCTTCCTGGCCCAGGATTCCTTCTGGACGCTTCCCGGGCAGTTCCTGGGCAACAAGGTGAGGCAGGCGGAGTCGAGAGCTGGGCATCATCGTGTGCCTTCGAGGACATTCAAATCGATCAGGGATTCGTAGGGGTCTCTGTGATTGCCACCAACTTGGGGACTGCCTTTCATCTCTTTGGTCTCCTGTCTTTTGGGGCTCCAGGTGGACTCCTACGGTGGCTCCCTACGCTTCAAGGTGCGCTACGTCTTGGGCCGGGGCCATTCGGAGCCCCTCCGGAAGCCCAGCGTGGTCCTCGTGGGCAACGGGCAACATCTCCTCTACCGGGCCGTGGTGCCCACCCAGCCCAACGTGGTCAACCAGCGGGAGGTCCAGTTCACTGAGGTCAGTGCTTTTTCTGCAGATCATGAGGTCGTCTATGTATAATAGTGGGTGGCAGTGTATGTATCCTTGTGGGCGATTTCCTATTAGTTTCCACTTCCATAGAAACTATGAATCCCATTGACCATGGATCCGGACCAAACTTGGCACAGATCATGACCAGGATTGACCCTGCCTTTTGGGAGTTGTAGTTTCCTCTCTTACAGAGAGCGCTGTGAACCCAACTGACAATGGATCTGGACCAAACTTGGCACATAGATCCCCCATGACCAACAGAAGTATTATCAGGCTTTGTGTGTGTGGGGGGGGGGATGGGGGGTGGGTGACCTTTTATTTTGGGAGTTATAGTTCACCCGCAATCAAAGAGTACTTTGAACCCAACCAAAGTCTGATCTGGACCAAACTTGGCACCCAGATCCCCCATGACCAATAGAAGTATTTTCAGACTTTGTGCTGGGTATGTGTGTGTGTGTGTGTGGGGTTGACCTTTGATTTTGGGAGTTATAGTTCACCTGTAATCATGGAGCACTGTGAACCCAATCTGGACCAAACATGACCATGACCAGTATAAAATACTAGAAGGGTTTGGGGGGGGGGGGGTGTCCTTGGATTTTGGGAGTTACAGTTCACCCGCAATCACAGAAACCTGTGAACCCAACCAACGATGGTTGCAGACCAAACTTGGCACCCGGACCCACCCATGACCAACAGACCATGAGCCTGAATTTTGGGAGTTATAGTTCACCCGCCATCAAAGAACACTGTGAACCCAGCCAACGATGGATCTGGACCAACATGACAATGACCAACAGAAAATACCGGAAGGGTTGAGGGTGGGAGGCTTGACCCTGGATTTTGGGAGTTATAGTTCACCCTCATCCAGAGAGCACTGTGAAACCAATCGACGATGGATCTGGACTGTTTCTAATGTTTGTCATTGCAAAAGACCTCACTTGGGCATCGCCGGGAACCTAAACATGTGTATATATATATATCTCAACCTGAAGGACTACGTAGCCCATCTGCCTCATCAGGCTTCAGCCACTGCAAAGGGTCTTTGGTGGCCATCTGTTGCAAAAGGAGGTGACGTGATGTCATTTCCTGAATCCCGGAACTCCCCGCATCCTGGACCCGGGTGTCACTTCCTGCCTGAGGATTGACTTGGGGAAAATAGGGTTATTATTAGAAGGGACAATTTCCAGGGTTGTGGCTGCAAAGGCAGGACAAAAGGGTTGTTTTTGCAATCGTTTCAGCGAACTTTCCAGTTGTGGGATTGTTTCATGCGTTTGGATGCAATTCCTGTCCCAAGGCAGCTCAGTTTTCCGGTTTGGCATGTTTTCGGGAGAGACACAATGAGAAGTTGCAAGGAGTGAGAATTAATGGTTTCCAAACGAGGAAATAAGTCATTGGAACAAGTCTCACAAATCAGTCGTTATTTAAAGACAAGGAAAGAACTCCTTGGAAAAAAATACATTGGGAACAGGCCCAGTAACAAGTCCCAGTAAACTAATTAATTATTTCAAAGGCATAGTGATATTCAATAGATAGATAGATAGATAAATAGGTTGATTGATTGATGGATAGATCGATGGATCGATTGATTGATGACTGAACAATAGAATCCTAAAGATAGAACGTACTTTTGAAGGTAGACAGATGGATAGATAGGATCCTAGAGTTGGAAGGGGCACCCAAAGGCCATCCAGTCCAACCCCTGAAAATAGATAGATAGAATAATAGAATTTTAAAGTTCAGAGGTACCCCAAGGGCCTTCCAGTCCAACCCTAAGATAGATAGAAACATATATACATATCAGGAAAGATAGATGGAAAGTCAGAGAGAGAGAGAGAATAACAGAATCTTAGCATTCAAAGGGACCCTAAGGTCCATCCAGTCCATCCAATAGATAAATAGATAGATAGATAGATAGATAGATAGATAGATAGATAGATAGGATCCTAGAGTTGGAAGGTCACCCAAAGGCCATCCAGCCCAATCCTAACATAGATGGATAGATAGATAGAATAATAGAATAACAGAATCTTAGCATTCAAAGGGACCCTAAGGACCATCCAGTCCATCACTTAGATAGATAGATAGATAGATAGATAGATAGATAGATAGATAGATAGAGAGAGAGAGATGGAAGGATAGATGGAAAGATAGATGGAAAGACAGAAAATAATAGAATCCTAGAGTTCAAAGGGACCCCAAGGACCATCCAGTCCACCACTTAGATAGATGGATGGATGGATGAATAGATAGATGGAAAGACAGAAAATAATAGAATCCTAGAGTTCAAGGGGACCCCAAGGACCATCCAGTCCACCACTTAGATAGATGGATGGATGAATAGATAGATGGAAAGATAGATGGAAAGACAGAAAATAATAGAATCCTAGAGTTCAAAGGGACCCCAAGGACCATCTAGTCCACCACTTAGATAGATGGATGGATGGATGGATGGATGAATAGATAGATGGAAAGATAGATGGAAAGACAGAAAATAATAGAATCCTAGAGTTCAAGGGGACCCCAAGGACCATCCAGTCCACCACTTAGATAGATGGATGGATGGATGAATAGATAGATGGAAAGATAGATGGAAAGACAGAAAATAATAAAATCCTAGAGCTCAAAGGGACCCCAAGGACCATTCAGTCCATCACTTAGAGAGAGAGAGAGAGAGAGAGATGGATGGATGGATAGATAGATAGATAGATAGATAGATAGATAGATAGATAGATAGAAGGATGGATAGAAGAATGGGAAGGTACTCTAAGGGCCATCCAGTTTAACCCTTAGATAGATAGATGGATGGATGGATGGATGGATGGATGGATGGATGGATGGATAGATAGATAGGTATTCTGTTTCCTTTGGGTTCATCTGTACAGGAGATTTAATGCAGTTCAATGCCACTTTTTGCAGGAGAACTGGGAGACGGAGTCAGGTTCGGCCGTGAGCCGTGAGGAGCTGCTGCTGGTCCTGCAGAACCTGGAGGCCATCCTGGTGCAGACGGTGTACGACAATCGCATGGCCAGCGTGGGGCTCAGCGACGTGACCATGGACACCACCACCACCGAGGTCACTGGCCTGGGACTGGCCCAAGGGGTTGAGGAGTGCAGGTGAGCAGGGCCTGGCATCCCTTCAAGAGGCAGGGACTTTGCCTCGGCCTTGCCATGGAACAGGAGGGAAAGCCAGGAAATGTCCTCAGGCAAGTCAGGTTAGGACTTCTCCTGGAGACCAGGATTCCCATTGAGCTGGAACGCCAACTGGATGGCATTGGGTAAGGCGTCCCAAGAGGTAGACAGATGCAAAAGCCCTTCTGAAGAAAATGTTGAAAGCCAATCCAACTCTAAGATAAATAGATAGATCAATAGATAAGGAGATATTTTAATCCCAGAGTTGGAAGAGACCTCCAAGGGCTATCCAACCCTATGATGGACGGATGGATGAATGAATGAATGAATGAATGAATTGATGGATCATAGAATTCTAGAGTTGGAAGGAACCCCAATGATCATCCAATTCAATCCTAACATGGATGGATGGATCATAGAATCCTGGAGCTGGAAGAGACCTCAAGCACCATTCAGTCCTACCCTAAAATGGATGGGTGGGTGGGTGGGTGGATGGATGGGTTGATAAATACTGTAGATAGATAGATAGATAGATAGATAGATAGATAGATAGATAGATAGATAGATAGATAGATAGATAGATAGATAGATAGATAGATAGATAATAGAATCCTGGAACTGGAAGGGACCCCAAGGACCAATCAGTCCAACCCTCAGATGGATAGATGGATGGATGGATGGATGGATGGATGGATGGATGGATGGATGGATGGGAATCTTTGAGCTGGAAGGGACCCCAAGGGCCATTCAGTCCAACCCTCAGATGGATGGATGGATGGATGGATGGATGGATGGATGGATAGAAAGATAGATAGATAGATAGATAGATAGATAGATAGATAGATAGATAGATAGATAGATAGATAGTAGAATCCTGGAACTGGAAGGGACCCCAAGGGCCATTCAGTCCAACCCTCAGATGGATAGATGGATGGATGGATAGGAATCCTTGAGCTGGAAGGGACCCCAAGGGCCATCCAGTCCATCAGACCATCAATCATTAGATAGATAGATAGATAGATAGATAGATAGATAGATAGATAGATAGATAGATAGATAGATGACTCCTTGTTGGAAGGGACCCCAAGGACCATCCAGTCCAAACCTAAGATAGATAGATAGATAGATAGATAGATAGATAGATAGATGAATCATAGAGTTTGAATGGACTTGAAAGGCCATCTAGTCCAACCCCATTCTGTCAGGAAGGAACACACAATCGAATCCCTCCTGGCAGATGGCCATCTAGCCTCCACTTTTAAAAAATCTCCAGAGGAATAAACTCCCACAGAAGAATATTCTTCTGCCAGTAAGTTTTTCCTAACGTAGAAGTGGGCTCTCCTTTTTGGCAGGTGCCCTGTGGGATACACCGGCCTCTCCTGTGAGCGCTGCGCTCCGCATTTCAAGCGTCTCCCCGGCGCTCCGTACTTGGGCACCTGCTCCGGGTGCAGCTGCCACGGCCACTCCAGCGCCTGTGACCCGGTCTCCGGATACTGCCTGGTAAGCTCTGCGGGAAGGGGCATATAAATAATACTAATACAGTATTCCCTCACTACTTCGGGGTTCACTTTTAGTGGACTCGCTATTTCGCGGGTTTTTGAAAATATTAATTAAAAATATTAAATATTTACATCCAGTGGAGGCCTTGGGGTGGGCCGGGAGGCGGGTAAGGAAGCGCGGGTCAGAAAATAATATATGAAATATATAAAATAATGTATAAATATTCAAATTAATATGGCGTCCCTACTTCGCGGATTTTCACGAAGTGGTCCTGGAATGGGACCCCCACGATAAATGAGAGAACACTATACTACTACTACTACTACTACTACTACTACTAATAATAATAATAATAATAATAATAATGGAAGAGACCACAATGGCCACCCAGTCTAACCCCCATTATATTATTATTATTATTATTATTATTATTATTATTATTATTATTGTATGTCGAAGGCTTTCATGGCCAACAGACCTCACAACCTCTGAGGATGCTTACCATAGATGCAGGCGAAACGTCAGGAGAGAATGCCTCTAGAACATGGCCGTATAGCTCGAAAAAACCTACAACAACCTTATTATTATTATTATTATTATTATTATTATTATTATTATTATTATTATTTGAAACACAACAAGATGAGTCCATAGCAGACTTTCCCTTCCTTAATGCCACTGTGGCACATTTGTCTAGGCTGAACTCCATACTGATGTCAGTGCTGAAGATTCTGACTGTTGGTCAGTGACTGGATTTCTGTTTCTGATTTTCCATAAAGCTTTAGATCATCCATGTACAACAAGTGGGAAATTTTTGGTGAATTTCTTGCTGTTTGGTAGCCTAGGTTTGTTTTCTGTAGAATTACTGACAGAGGGATCATTGCAATGATGAACAGCAGTGGTGACAGTGAGTCGCCCTGGAAAATTCCTCTCTTGATGTTAACAGTTGCCCACGAAGAGCTCCGTTTTGCATTGTTTCATTGCATTTTCGGTGAATTTTCTAAATATTTTCACAAACCCCGATGACATCTAGACATTTGATAATCCCACAATGTGGCAGTGAGTCCAATGCTTTTTTGTAATCAATCCAAGTTGAGGTTTGTTATTATTATGGCAGTCCCCAACTTACGAACACGAGAGGTTCGGATGGTTAGTTGCGACCAAAGAGCTATCTTTTCCCAACCCCTTTTTCCCCAGAGATTCTCAGCAAGCCTTTATGGGAGTGCATTCTTCCTGTTTTGAGTGGGGAGTCATGGGGTCCTCACTCACCTCCTCCTCTCTTTTTGCCCTCAGAACTGCCAGCACAACACCGAGGGACCCCAATGCAACACGTGCAAGCCGGGCTTCTTTGGGGACGCCACCAAAGGCGGTCCCACGGCGTGCCTGCCTTGCCCGTGCCCCTACACCGAAGCCCCCCGGAGGTTTTCCAGCACTTGCTTCTTGGACACGGACGGGCAGGCCACTTGCGACGCGTGTGCCGTGGGATACACCGGGCGCCGCTGCGAGAGGCAAGTGGGGCACCCCCTGCTCTTTGTTGTGGTTCAAGGGGCTCTCTAAGGACCACGGCCCCCTTTTATAGTCCCGGAAGGAGACTCCGCCACTAACCCCAGGCCTTCTCTCTCCCCTGTTGCTCTCCAGGTGTGCTACTGGTTATGAAGGCAACCCCATCCAACCTGGCGGGAAGTGCATCAAGGCACCTGGTGAGTTGTATTTCCAAGGGTCGATTTAGTCTCATTCTCATGTTTAGGCGGAATAGCCTTTGCCTCCTCCTCTTCTACTTCTTTCTCCTTCTCTACCTTTTCTCTTTCTTCTTCTCCTCCTCCAATTTCTATTTCTTCTTTTGCTGTTCCTTCTCCTTTTTTCTCCTCCTTCTCTTTTTCCTCTCCTTCTCCTCTTATTCTTCTTTTCTCCTCCTCCTCCTCTCTGCCTTTTTCTCCTTCTTTTCTTTCTCATCCTCTTCTTCTCCTCTTATGTTTCTTCTTATCCTCTTTCTCCTTCTCCTTGTCCTCTTTCTCCTTCTTTTTAATCCTCTTCTCCTTCTTCTCTTTCTCCTCCTCTTTTCCTTCTTCTATTTCTCCCCTCCTTCTCCTCTTTTACTCCTTCTCCTCTTCTCCATATTTTTCTGCTTCTTCCCTTGCTTCTTCTCTTCTTCTTCTTCTCCTCTTTCTCCTCCTCTTTACCTTCTTCCTCCTCTACTTTTTCTTCTCATCTTCTCTGCCTTTTCTCCTTCTCTTTCTCCTCTTTTCCTTCTTCTCTTTCTCCCCTCCTTCTCATCTTCTCTGCCTTTTCTCTTTCTCCTTCTCTTTTCCTTCTTCTCTTTCTCCTCTTTTTCTTCTCCTCTTCTCTGCCTTTTCTCCTTCTCTTTCTCCTCTTCTTCTCATTGTCTTCCTCCTTCTTCCTCTCTCCTTTTTTCCCTTTTCCTCCTCTCTCTTCTTTCTTCTCTTTCTCTTTTCCTTCTTTCTCCCTCTCTTTTCCTTCTTCTTTCTTCTCCTTCTTCTCTTTCTCCTCTTCTTCTTCTCATTCCCTTTCTCCTCTTCTCTGCCTTTTCCCCTTCTCTTTCACCTCCTCTTCTTTTCCTTCTCTTTTTGTCCTTTTCTCCTTCTCTGCCTTTTCTCTTTCTCCTCCTCCTCCAACTTCTATTTCTTCTTCTGCTGCTCCTTCTCCTTCTTTTTGTCCTCTTTCTTCTCCTTTACCTCTCCTCTTATTCTCTGTCCCTCCTCTCTGCCGTTTTCTCCTTCTTTTCTTTCTCATCCTCTTCTTCTCCTCTTATGTTTCTTCTTATCTTCTTTCTCCTTCTCCTTGTTCTCTTTCTCCTTTTTAATCCTCTTCTTCTTCTCTTTCTCCTCCTCTTTTCCTTCTTCTATTTCTCCCCTCCTTCTCCTCTTTTACTCCTTCTCCTCCATATTTTTCTGCTTCTTCCCTTGCTTCTCCTCTTCTTCTTCTCCTCTTTCTACTCCTCTTTTCCTTCTTCTATTTCTCCCCTCCTTCTCCTCTTTTACTCCTTCTCCTCCATATTTTTCTGCTTCTTCCCTTGCTTCTCCTCTTCTTCTTCTCCTCTTTCTACTCCTCTTTTCCTTCTTCTATTTCTCCCCTCCTTCTCCTCTTTTACTCCTTCTCCTCTTCTCCATATTTTTCTGCTTCTTCCCTTGCTTCTTCTCTTCTTCTTCTTCTCCTCTTTCTCCTCCTCTTTACCTTCTTCCTCCTCTACTTTTTCTTCTCATCTTCTCTGCCTTTTCTCCTTCTCTTTCTCCTCTTTTCCTTCTTCTCTTTCTCCCATCCTTCTCATATTCTCTGCCTTTTCTCTTTCTCCTTCTCTTTTGCTTCTCCTCTTTCTCCTCTTTTTCTTCTCCTCTTCTCTGCCCTTTCTCCTTCTCCTCTTCTTCTCATTGTCTTCCTCCTTCTCCTCTTCTCTGCCTTTTCCCCTTCTCTTTCTCCTCTTCTTTTCCTTCTCTTCTTCTCCATTTCTCCTCCTCTTTTCCTTCTTCTTCCTCCTCCTCTTCTTTTTCTTCTCGTTTTCTTTGCCTTTTCTCCTTCTCTTTTCCTTCTTTCTCCCTCTCTTTTCCTTCTTCTCCTCTTCTCCGCCTTCTTCTCCTTCTTCTCTTTCTCCTCCTCTTCTTCTCATTCCCTTTCTCCTCGTCTCCACCTTTTCCCCTTCTCTTTCACCTCCTCTTCTTTTCCTTCTCTTTTTGTCCTTTTCTCCGTCTTGTCTTTCTCCGTCTCCTCCTTCTCTTTCTCCCCTCCTCATCCAGCCTCACTAACGTTTCAACCAAATGGCAATCATACAGACCTTTTCTTCTCCCAACCTTTTCTGTTTTATCCTCAAATAGAGCAAGTGGTCGCCCGTTGCGATAAGCGGGGCAGCAGCGAGGTTTCGGACGGGGCTTGCCGATGCAAGGTGAGCAGGCTGACCGCTTAGAACCCCCCCCCCCCCAAATAACTCCCCAAATGAATTCACTACTCTGGGTTCTGTAGTCACTGGGATTGTCAACATTCTTATTTTGTCATTTGACAGCCCAACGTCATGGGCCGCTTCTGCAACGAATGCGCGACGGGGACCTTCCACCTCAGCCAGCACAACCCGGAGGGCTGCCTGCGCTGCTTCTGCATGGGGGTCTCCCGGCAGTGCGCCAGCTCCTCCTGGAGCAGGGACCAGGTACGCACCGCATTCGGGGATTTAGATCCGGCAAAAGTATGAGGATGTTGCAGTTCAGCCCATGGTTGTGACTGATACCCATGTAAATGTGGAAGTGGATCATGACAACTCTGAGCCTGCGAGCCAACATGAGATTCTGAGTCCTGAAAATGATCATTCTGTGTCTCCAGTAGTTAGTGAAGGTCATATTCCCTGTCGTAGTCAACTGTGAATTGCACATGTGGTAATTGCTGCGCTTGCGCAGTACAGCTTCGGAACCTTCTGGAATATAAAACAGACATTTTGTCCCTTGCCCCGCCCACTCCCCCCCGAGTATATATGGCCCGTAGGTGGGGCCAGACCCTCAGTTCTCTTGATCCGCCTAGCAAGCAGCTAGAGAACTTTCTTCTCATGAGTTCACTTCGAACTGTTTTTTTCTGGACTGTTCATATTAACTACTGGCTTTCGATTGTGTGTCTTTCTGTGTCCCTGATTTTTGACTGGCTTCTCGATTCAGTGATTTTCTCTGCTCCTGACTCTTGGACTGTTTTATTTATTTATTTATTATTTAAACTTATATGCCGCCACTCCCCTGTGCTGGATGTCCTGTTGCTTTGGGATTTTGGATTACTATTGTACCTTGTTATCTCGTACAGAAAAGGCTTCTATTATTATTATTATTATTATTATTATTATTATTATTATTATTGTAACGACACCATCAGTTGTAGGGACGTTATTGACTTGTCAGGGTCTCCTACAATTTGCAATGAATCTTCAAATCGATAACACAGCCACTAGCCTGTAATATTTTGTTTATCTTCCTTTGATGTGTAGCGTGGCTTGACTCGAAAGTATATGAAACAGAGGCTTGGATTTAAGAGAAACTGTAATAAGTTTATCGAAGTATAGAAGCTTAATGGTTTCAATATTTCTTAACTCCTAGAGGTACATTCCTTTAGTGGTTACATTTATAACCTTTCATAAAACAACTCTTAAGAGGACTGTTCTTTCCACTAGACAGGTTTTAAACTTATTTCCTTCAAAATGTGTTTCTTTCCTTAACAGATCACTCCAGGTACTAACTTATTCTTTCCCTCTGTTATCTCTGTTACAGTAAAGATTCTTACTGAGGTTCTCTTCCCCTTTTTGCTAAAACCCTAACTACCGGGGGGTGCTCTTGCTCTTGAGGAGCTCTTGAGGCACCCCTGCCCCGAACGACACCCCGAGGCAGCTCACTCTCCCTCCCTCCTCTCCTCACAAGTGCATGTGCGCGCATCTTGTCTTCCTCTCCTCCTCCTCCTCCTCGCAGGCCAAGGGAGACAACAACGCCAGCGTGTGTCGCTCTTCCGGTGTTCGGAAGTGCACGGGGAAGGAGGGGCGACACAGGGCATGCACTTCCTAAGCGAGGAGAGGGACACACACCGGCGTTGCCAGGCACGTGGGAAAAAGAGGCCTCTTACAGAGAGCATGCTCCCTGCACGAGGGGTCTTCCGCCGCAAGCTTGGCAGTGCCGGTGTGTGTCCCTCTCCCGGCATTAGTAAGTGCGCAGGGAAAGAGGGCTGATGCAGTATTTTCTGCTGGTCATGGGAGTTCTATGTGCTAAGTTTGGTTCTCTTTCTTCATTGGTGGAATTCAGAATGCTCTGGTTGTATGTGAACTATCAATCCAAGCACTACAACTTCCAAATGTCAAGGTCTATTTCCCCCAAACAATCCTATGAGTGATAGATCCTATGAAAGATTTGGTTTGAAATGGCTAATGATACAAGTGCTGTCTGTGGTGGACCTCACCTCCACGGCTCCAAGTGGCAGTTCCTCTCCTTTGACCTAGGTGCGTGTGGCCTATGAGGAAGCCGGAGGAACCCACTTCAGCCTCTCCAACGCGGCCGGCACTCGGACAGTCAGCGAGGGGCTGCGCTTCTCCGGACCCTCCGAACTCACTTTCTCCTCCTTCCACTCGCTAGCGCCGGATGTCTACTTCTGGGTGCTGCCGGAGCGCTTCAAGGGAGACAAGGTGAGTCATTATTATTATTATTATTATTATTATTATTATTATTATTCAGCCCATCCCCCTCGAGGGCTACCATTGCCTTATTAGGGTCACTCCCAAAGGGCTATTCAATCAAACTACAAGCCGTTCCCGAGTTGTAAACATCAGACTTAAGAACGGGGCTGATGCAACAGAAAAGGATATGAATCTTATATATTACTAGCCGTCCCCTGCCACGCGTTGCTGTGGCCCACATGGGGGTTCTGTGTGGGAGGTTTGGCCCAATTCTATCATTGGTGGGATTCAGAATGCTCTTTGATTGTAGGTGAACTATAAATCCCAGCAACTACAACTCCCAAATGTCAAGATTCTTTTCCCCCAAACTCCACCAGTGTTCACATTTGGGCATATTGAGTATTTGTGTAGAGTTTGGGTCCAGATCCATCATTGTTTGAGTCCACAGTGATCTCTGGATGTAGGTGAACTACAACTCCAAAACCAAAGGACACTGCCCACCAAACCCTTCCAGTATTTTCTGTTGGTCATGGGAGAACTGTGTGCCAAGTTTGGTTCAATTCCATCGTTGGTGGGGTTCAGAAGGCTCTTTGATTGTAGGTGAACTATAAATCCCAGCAACTACAACTCCCAAATGACAAAATCAATTTTTTGAGTGAAGGACATACATTGGATTGTTAGGTGTCTTGTGTCCAAATTTGGTGACAATTTGTCCAGTGGTTTTTGAGTTCTGCGAATACCACAAACGAACATTACATTTTTATTTATATAGATTAGTATTATTATATTATTATTTTATACTAGCTGTCCCCTGCCATGTGTTGCTAAAGCCCAGTCTGTGTATATATGTTTTATGTGTGTATGTATGTGTATATGTATACACATATACACATACATACACACGTAAAACATATATACACAGACTGGGTTTTAGCAGTGGTTTTGCGCATGCGTTGTAATGTATTTTTTTTATTTCTTGGCTTTTTAAGCCCCTTCCTCTGTGCTTTTCAGTGTTTTTATGAGTTATGGTCACTCGTTGGCTTGATAGGCGTGTTGTGGCCAAATTTGGTGTCAATTAATTCAGTGGTTTTTGAGTTATGCTAATCCCACAAATGAACATTATACAAGGTCATTGTGCATGCGCTGTAACGTCTTTTTGGGTTTTATTGGCTTTTAAAGTCCCTTCCGCTGTCTTTTTCAGTGTTTTTAGGAGTGATGGTCACTCGTTGGCCTGACAGGTGTGTTGTGTCCAAATTTGGTGTCAATTCATTCAGTGGTTTTTGAGTTATGCTAATCCCACAAACGGACATTACATGAGGTCATTGTGCATGCGCCGTAGCGTCTTTTTGGGTTTTATTGGCTTTTTAAGTCCCTTCCGCTGTCTTTTTCAGTGTTTTTAGGAGTGATGGTCACTCGTTGGCCTGACAGGTGTGTTGTGTCCAAATTTGGTGTCAATTCATTCAGTGGTTTTTGAGTTATGCTAATCCCACAAACGGACATTACATGAGGTCATTGTGCATGCGCCGTAGCGTCTTTTTGGGTTTTATTGGCTTTTTAAGTCCCTTCCGCTGTCTTTTTCAGTGTTTTTAGGAGTGATGGTCACTCGTTGGCCTGACAGGTGTGTTGTGTCCAAATTTGGTGTCAATTCATTCAGTGGTTTTTGAGTTATGCTAATCCCACAAACGGACATTACATGAGGTCATTGTGCATGCGCCGTAGCGTCTTTTTGGGTTTTATTGGCTTTTTAAGTCCCTTCCGCTGTCTTTTTCAGTGTTTTTAGGAGTGATGGTCACTCGTTGGCCTGACAGGTGTGTTGTGTCCAAATTTGGTGTCAATTCATTCAGTGGTTTTTGAGTTATGCTAATCCCACAAACGGACATTACATGAGGTCATTGTGCATGCGCCGTAGCGTCTTTTTGGGTTTTATTGGCTTTTTAAGTCCCTTCCGCTGTGTTTTTCTGTGTTTTTATAAGTGATGGTCACTCGTCGGCCTGAGAGGTGTCTTGTGTCCAAATCTGGTATCAGTTCATTCAGTGGTTTTTGAGTTATGTTAATCCCACAAACGAACATTGCATTTTTATTGATATAGATATATACAGGTCATTCCTGAAGTCACAGACATTCAACTTGCAGATGACTCCTAGTTAAGAACGGGGTTGAGACAACAGGAAAGGAGATGAATATTATATATTATTAGTATTATATTATATTATATTATATTATATTATATTATATTATATTATTTACTGTATTTGTATACTGCTTTTCTCAGCCAGTCGGCGACTCAATATAGTATTATATATTACTAGCTGTCCCCTGCCATGCGTTGTTGTGGCCCAGTCTGTTGATCTGGAAAATAAAGTAATAAGAAACTGCTGGTTTCTAATATATGTAATTTCTTTATGCTTGTGGGTAAACAGGATTTGTTTATGTTTTCTTGCCCTGGTGAATGGAGTTGGACTGGATGGCCTTAAGTATTTTCTATTGGTCATAGGGGTTCTGTGTGGGAAGTCTGCCTCAATTCTATTGTTCGCGGGGTTCAGAATGCTCTTTGATTGTAGGTGAACTATAAATCCCAATAACTACAACTCCCAAATGTCAAGGTCTATTTACCCAAACTCCACCTCTGTTCACATTTGGGCATATTGAGTATTCGTGCCAAGTTTGGTCCAGATCCATCATTGTTTGAGTCCACAGTGCTCTCTGGATGTAGGTGAACTACAACTCCCAAACTCAAGGTCAATGCCCACCAAACCCTTCCAGTATTTTCTGTTGGTCATGGGAGTTCTGTGTGCCAAGTTTGGTTCAATTCCATCGTTGATGGAGTTCAGAATGCTCTTTGATTGTAGGTGAACTATAAATCCCAGCAACTACAACTCCAAAATGACAAAATCATAATTTTTGAGTGATGGTCACTCCTTGTGTTGTGAGATGTTTTGTTGCCAAATTTGGTGTGATTTCGTTCATTGGTTCTTTTGTTTTTAAGGTACTCATTATGCACAGAGCATTTTTATATATATAGATAATAATATTATAATGTAGTAATAAATAATAATATTATACACACACACACACACACACACACACACATATATATATACAGGAAGTCCCCAAGTTACAAACATCTAACTCTAGGGTCACATTTCTTAAACCTTACAGTGGACTGTACTGTGAACACATGTGCATTAGAACTGTATTTTTGCACACTGGAAGGACTTACAATGCATTCCTATCTAATAACCTGGGGATGCCATTTAGACTGAATACAGGCTGGGATGAGCAAACAGCAATGGAAGACAGGGTGCTCCCGTTGCAGGGCAGTAGCAGCCAAACTGTCATGGAGTTGACCACCTTCACAATGGAGTATGGGCCCACACATTTCGGAGCCAGCTTCTTTGAGGGCTGTACCATGCTTAAATAATAGAATTCACGACTGTTTTCCTGGTGGGATGCTTCCCTCTTCTTTCCAGGTGACCTCCTACGGCGGGGAGCTGCGCTACACTATCGTCCACGACGCCTTCCCCGGAGCCCCTCTCCTGCGGGGCCAGCCGGACGTCCTGCTGCAAGGGAACGGCATTTTCTTGGAACACAAGGCCGACACCACCCCGCTCCCAGGGACCCCCATGACCTTCACCGTGCCCTTCCGGGAGGTGAGGCTCCCCCCCCCCCAAAAAAGGTTCGGGGGAAAGTGACCATCCCCAAATGGGGGTGAATGTCAAAAGCGGGAACCCACCCCTTTCTCGCTCTCCCAGCATTCCTGGCGCCGCGCCGATGGGCAGGACGCTACCCGCGAACACCTCCTGATGGCTCTGGCTGGCATCGACCTCTTCATGATCCGGGCCTCGTACTCGAAGCGGCCCTCAGAGAGCAGGTCAGCGGCGGGAAAGACAAGGAGGGAAGCAAACACGGGAGCGTCCTTCCACGGGAAGGCGTTGTCTTTTGTTGCAGCTATTTACAGTATTTCATGGGGGGAGTCTCTCATTTGGTATCAGCCATTGGTTGAGGTTCTGGGTTTGAACCTGCCACTTTTGGACTCTCGCTTGCTGAGGTGTTCCAGCGAGTGTCTCTGTAGATCTTAGAAAACTATTTCTTGATTTAAGTCGTCAGCATGCTGGCTGATACCCAAAGAAGGGATGAGCTGGAGATTTATTTTAATTAATTATTTATTTATTTACTACGCTTATATACCGCAATTCTCAGCCTAATGGCGACTCATTGCGGTGTACAACATAGAAAAACAGGTGCAAAATACAAACATAGTGACAAATAATCCGCAGTACATCATTAGCAAAACATCTCATCAAAAACATCAACATTATTACAAAGCCATTCCGAGTCGTCTCATCGTCAAGTTCACAATCCAATACCATTTCCGTTGTTCCATTCCTATGGTCAAGTTACCAGTCATTGCACTTCTATTCAAAAGCCTTCTTAAACAACCAGGTCTTCAGCTTCCTGCGGAAGATCAACAGGGAGGGGGCTAACCTGATGTCTACGGGAAGGGTGTTCCACAGCCGAGGAGCCACCACCGAGAAGGCCCTATCTCTCGTCCCCGCCAGCCGTGCCTGTGACGCAGGCGGGATCGAGAGCAGGGCCTCCCCGGAAGATCTCAAAGTCCTCGTGGGCTCATAGGCAGAGATGCGGTCGGATAGGTAGCTAAACAGGGGATGAACTGGAGATGTCTCTGCCTTGGTCCTTTCACTATTGGCTGCTACTTCCTGGCGGATGTCAAGTGGTGCAATACCGGCTAAGCAGTGTAATTTCTCCAGTGGTGTAGGGTGCAGACACTCCGTGATAATGCGGCATGTCTCATTAAGAGCCACATCCACTGTTTTAGCGTGGTGAGATGTGTTCCACACTGGGCATGCATACTCAGCAGCAGAGTAGCATAGCGCAAGGGCAGATGTCTTCACTGTGTCTGGTTGTGATCCCCAGGGTGTGCCAGTCAGCTTTCGTATGATATTGTTTCTAGCACCCACTTTTTGCTTGATGTTCAGGCAGTGCTTCTTGTAGGTCAGAGCATGGTCCAGAGTGACTCCCAGGTATTTGGGTGCACTGCAATGCTTCCCAGGTCATCCTCAGAGCTCGGGATGCTTGTCTGTTCTTAAGGTGAAAAGCACATGTCTGTGTTTTAGATGGGTTAGGGATCAGCTGGTTTTCCTTGTAATAGGCAGTAAGAGCACCTAGAGCTTCGGAGAGCTTCTGTTCTACCCTCTCAAAGCTCCCTGCTTGAGCGTTGATGGCACTATCGTCAGCGTAGATGAAACTCTCTGTCCCTTCTGGCAGTGGCTGGTCATTTGTGTAGATGTTGAACATGGATGGAGCGAGCACGCTCCCCTGGGGCAGGCCGTTCTTCTGTTTCCACCATCTGCTTCTCTGGCCCTGGAACTCAACAAAGAAGCTCCTGTTTGGTAGCTGATTTCCTTGAGTGGTGATGGCACAATCATCAGCATAGATGAAACTCTCTGTCCCTTCTGGCAGTGGCTGGTCATTTGTGTAGATGTTGAACATGGATGGAGCAAGCACGCTCCCCTGAGGCAGGCCGTTCTTCTGTTTCCACCATTTGCTTCTCTGGCCTTGGAACTCAACAAAAAAGCTCCTGTTTTGGGTGTTCTTGCATGATGCAGTGTTCCCTTCCTGCATTCATTATCTTCTACACCTGATGCAGACCTAACTCCCGGGTTTAATTCTTCTTGTGTTGCTTCGCTCTTTGTCAATGTCTTTGTCTCCTTCCGTTCAGGATATCCGGCATCCAGCTGGACGTGGCGGTGCCGCACCCCACCGGTCGGGACCCCGCCGTGGAAGTGGAAGAATGCACCTGCCCTCCTGGATACCGTGGACCTTCCTGCCAGGTGAGCCTTTGACCCTCGGGACCTGGGTTCAAATCCCCAAAGAAGTTCCGCACACCTTGCGGCGTCTCGTCTTGTAGAAAGGCAACTAGAAACACTCGCTCGCGTCTCTCTCGTTTTCAGGACTGTGATGTGGGCTACACCCGGACTACTAGCGGGCTCTACCTGGGTACCTGCGAACCTTGTGACTGCGGGGGACACGCCACTGAATGCGACCCGGAGACCGGGGAGTGCCAGGTGAGAGAGAGAGCATGGAAAGCGTGGCTCAGCTGTTAGGAATGGTGGGAGTTGAAGTCCAAAACACCCGGAGGGCCGAAGTTTACTCATGGAATGGGTTGGCCCTTCTGGAAACTGGGTAGTGTTTTGGTTTTTACCTATTGGAAATCTTTTTAATATTTTATCTTCCTTCCTTCCTCTTTCCCTTCCTTTTTCTTTTCTCTTTTCCCTTCTTTCTCTTTTCTATTTCCTTCCCTTCCCCATTCCTTTTCTTGTTTTCCCCCCTTCCCTCCTTTTCTTTTCCTCCTACCTTCCTTCCTTTCTCTTTCTCTTTCTCTTCCTTTTCCTTTGTCCCTCGCTCCTTCCCTCTCCCCCTTTTCTTTCTTCTTTTTTTCTCATTTCCTTTTCTTTTTCCCCTCCCTCCCTTCCTCTTTTGCTTCCTTTATTCTTTTCTCTTTTCCCTTCTTTCTCTTTTCTATTTCCTTCCTCCTTCCTTCTTCACTTCCCCATTCCTTCTCTTATTTTCCTCCTTTCCCTCCTTTTCTTTTCCTCCATCCTACCTTCCTTCCTCTTTCTCTTTCTCTTCCTTTTCCTTTGTCCCTCGCTCCTTCCCCTTTTCTTTCTTCTTCTTTTCTCATTTCCTTTTCTTTTTCCCCTCCCTCCCTTCCTCTTTCCCTTCCTTTATTCTTTTCGCTTTTCCCTTCTTTCTATTTTCTATTTCCTTCCTCCTTCCCTTCCCCATTCCTTCTCTTATTTTCCTCCCTTCCCTCCTATTCTTTTCCTCCTTCCTACCTTCCTTCCCCTTCTTCCTTTTCCTTTGTCCCTCTCTCCTTTCCTCTCCCCCTTTTCTTTCCTCTTCTCATTTCCTTTTCTTTTTTCCCTTCCACTTTCCCTTCCCTTTCTTTTATTCTATTCTTTTACTTTTATATTTCCTCCCTCCTTCCCTTTTCTCTTTTCTTTCCTCTTCCCTTCCCTCTTCCTTTTCTTCTTCTTCTCCTTCCTTCTTTCCTTCCCTCCTCTTTCCCTTCCTGTTCTATTTTTTTCTTTTATATTTCCTTCCTTCACCCTCCCTCCTTCCTTCTTCCCTTCCCCTTTCCTCTTCACTTATTTCCCCTTTCCTTTTCTTTTTCCCACTTCCTTCCTTCTTTCCTCTTTCCCTTCCCTTTCTTTTCTTTCTTTAATCTTCCCTTCCCCTTTTCTCTTCACTTCTTTCCCCTTTCCTTTTCTTTTTCCCACTTCCTTCCTTCTTTCCTCTTTCCCTTCCCTTTCTTTTCTTTCTTTAATCTTCCCTTCCCCTTTTCTCTTCACTTCTTTCCCCTTTCCTTTTCTTTTTCCCACTTCCTTCCTTCTTTCCTCTTTCCCTTCCCTTTCTTTTCTTTCTTTAATCTTCCCTTCCCCTTTTCTCTTCACTTCTTTCCCCTTTCCTTTTCTTTTTCCCACTTCCTTCCTTCTTTCCTCTTTCCCTTCCCTTTCTTTTCTTTCTTTAATCTTCCCTTCCCCTTTTCTCTTCACTTCTTTCCCCTTTCCTTTTCTTTTTCCCACTTCCTTCCTTCTTTCCTCTTTCCCTTCCCTTTCTTTTCTTTTATCTTCCCTTCCCCTTTCCTCTTCTCTTCTTTCCCCTTTCCTTTTCCCCACTTCCTTCCTTCTTTCCTCTTTCCCTTCCCTTTCTTTTCTTTTATCTTCCCTTCCCCTTTTCTCTTCACTTCTTTCCCCTTTCCTTTTCTTTTTCCCACTTCCTTCCTTCTTTCCTCTTTCCCTTCCCTTTCTTTTCTTTAATCTTCCCTTCCCCTTTTCTCTTCTCTTCTTTCCCCTTTTCTTTTTCCCACTTCCTTCCTTCTTTCCACTTTCCCTTCTCTTTCTTTTCTTTCTTTTCTTTTATCTTCCCCTTTTCACTTCTTTCCCCTTTTCTTTTTCCCACTTCCTTCCTTCTTTCCTCTTTCCCTTCCCTTTCTTTTCTTTCTTTAATCTTCCCTTCCCCTTTTCTCTTCACTTCTTTCCCCTTTCCTTTTCTTTTTCCCACTTCCTTCCTTCTTTCCTCTTTCCCTTCCCTTTCTTTTCTTTTATCTTCCCTTCCCCTTTTCTCTTCACTTCTTTCCCCTTTCCTTTTCTTTTTCCCACTTCCTTCCTTCTTTCCTCTTTCCCTTCCCTTTCTTTTCCTTTGTCTTCCCTTCCCCTTTTCTCTTCACTTCTTTCCCCTTTCCTTTTTCCCCACTTCCTTCCTTCTTTCCTCTTTCCCTTCCCTTTCTTTTCTTTTATCTTCCCTTCCTTTTCTTTTTTTTCTCATCCCTTCCCTTTTTCCATCCCTTCCGCCTTCCTTTCCTTTTCCCCTTCCTGCCTTCCTTCCTTCCTCTTTTCCTTCCTCTGCAGAACTGCCAGCACGACACGGAAGGCCCCCGCTGCGATCGCTGCCGGCAAGGTTTCTATGGCGATGCCCGACAAGGGTCCTGCCGGCCCTGCCCTTGCCACGGCGCCATCCCCCTTGGCCAGTAGGTTGCCCCCCTCCCCTGCCCTTTGCCCTCCTTGCCCCTTACCTGCCCACCTTTGCCCTGAGCCCTACCTTTGCTCTCTCCCAGGGAGGTCAAGACCTGCTTCCTCGACTCGGACGGGCAGCCCACCTGCGACGCCTGTGCCATAGGATCCCACGGCCGGCAGTGCGAACGGTAGGAGGGCCCCCCCCCTGGGGGGTGGGGCTCCATGACCTCTGGGATCCCCTCCTGGGACCCTTTGCTGGCATTGTCGCTGGCCTTGGGGGTGCCTCTCCAACTCAGCCTGACCCTCTTGTCTTGATCCAGGTGTTCTCCGGGTTACGTGGGGGACCCCAGCCGGGGCTATCCGTGCACCCGTCCAGGTGAGTTCCCCGTTTGGAGCAGGGAGATCCACAGGAAAAGAGGGGGGGAGGGTCCCCAGAGGCAATTTCATATTGACTTTGACTTCCCTCGACACTGACTTCAGAGTGACTTTGACTTCCCTTGGCATTGGCCTCAAACTAATAATAATAATAATAATAATAATAATAATAATAATATTGTTATGACTTCAATTTTATTTTTACTTCCCTGGCCACAGACGTCATCATCATCATCATCATTATTATTATTATTATTATTATTATAACTTCAAATTGACTTTGACTTCCCTAGACACAGATGTATTATTATTATTATTATTATTATTATTATTATTATTATTATTATTATGCCTTCAAATTGACTTTGACTTCCCTGGGTACATACGTCAATAGTATTATTATTATTATTATTATTATTATTATTATTATTATGCCTTCAAATTAACTTTGACTTCCCTGGGTACATACGTCAATAGTATTATTATTATTATTATTATTATTATTATTATTATTATGACTTCAAATTGACTTTTGACTTCCCTGGGCACATACGTCAATATTATTATTATTATTATTATTATTATTATTATGCCTTCAAATTGACTTTGACTTTCCTGGGTACAGATGTCATTATTATTATTATTATTATTTTGACTTCAAATTGACTTTGACTTCCCTGGGCACATACGTCAATAGTATTATTATTATTATTATTATGACTTCAAATTGACTTTTGACTTCCCTGGGCACATACGTCAATATTATTATTATTATTCTTATTATGCCTTCAAATTGACTTTGACTTTCCTGGGCACATACGTTAATATTATTATTATTATTATTATTATTATTATTATTATGCCTTCAAATTGACTTTGACTTTCCTGGGTACAGATGTCATTATTATTATTATTATTATTATTATTATGACTTCAAATTGACTTTGACTTCCCTGGGCACATACGTCAATATTATTATTATTATTATTATTATGCCTTCAAATTGACTTTGACTTCCCTAGGCACATATGTCAATATTGTTATTATTATTATTATTATTATTATTATTATTATTACTTCAAATTGACTTTGACTTCCCTAGGCACATATGTCAATATTGTTATTATTATTATTATTATTATTATTATTATTATTATTATTATTACTTCAAATTGACTTTGACTTCCCTAGGCACATATGTCAATATTGTTATTATTATTATTATTATTATTATTATTATTATTACTTCAAATTGACTTTGACTTCCCTAGGCACATATGTCAATATTGTTATTATTATTATTATTATTATTATTATTATTATTACTTCAAATTGACTTTGACTTCCCTAGGCACATATGTCAATATTGTTATTATTATTATTATTATTATTATTATTATTATTACTTCAAATTGACTTTGACTTCCCTAGGCACATATGTCAATATTGTTATTATTATTATTATTATTATTATTATTATTATTACTTCAAATTGACTTTGACTTCCCTAGGCACATATGTCAATATTGTTATTATTATTATTATTATTATTATTATTATTATTACTTCAAATTGACTTTGACTTCCCTAGGCACATATGTCAATATTGTTATTATTATTATTATTATTATTATTATTATTATTACTTCAAATTGACTTTGACTTCCCTAGGCACATATGTCAATATTGTTATTATTATTATTATTATTATTATTATTATTATTATTATTATTATTATTTTCAAATTGACTTTGACTTCCCTAGGCACATATGTCAATATTATTATTATTATTATTATTATTATTATTATTATTACTTCAAATTGACTTTGACTTCCCTAGGCACATATGTCAATATTGTTATTATTATTATTATTATTATTATGACTTCAAATTGACTTTGACTTCCCTAGGCACAGATGTCAATATTATTATTATTAGTAGTAGTAGTAGTAGCAGCAGCAGTGGTAGTAGTAGTATTTCCTTTTCTTCTCCTTTCCCCAGGTTCGGGTTCGAGGTGCAACTGCGACCCTCAAGGCAGCCTCAGCAGCCAATGTGACGCCAATGGGCAATGCCAGTGCAAGGTGAGGAGGGGGGGATCCCATTGGCAGCGAGGTGGGGAAGAAGGACCCCCATGCTCGTACTAAGGAGAACGTTCTCAACTTCTTCTGCCACGTTCCCAGGCCAACGTGGAGGGCCCCCAGTGCGACTCCTGCCGCCCGCACCACTTCCACTTGAGCGCCGAGAACCGGGAGGGCTGCCTGCCCTGCTTCTGCATGGGGGTCACCCAGCAGTGCGCCAGTTCCTCCTACCACCGCGACACTGTGAGTCCCCACCACGGCCATGTTCCCTCTGAATCTCTCCTCAGTCTCTTCTTCACCTTCTTCTTCCTTTTCTTCTTAACCTTCTGCTTCTTCTTCCTCCTCCTCTACTTCTTCCACTTCCTCATCTTCTTCTTCTTTTCCATCTTCTTCCTCTTAGCCTTCTTTGTAACATTCACCTTCTTCCTCCTCCTCCTCTTCTTCACCTTCTTCTTCCTCTTCCTCCTCCACTTCTTCAGCTTTGTTTTCTTTTTCCTCTTCTTTTTCTTCATCTTCGTCTTCTCCGTCTTCTTCCTCTTCCCCTTCTTCCTCTTCCTCCTCTTCTTCACTTACGTCCTATTCTTCTTCACCTTAATCCTCTCTTTCACCTTCTTCTTCTTTTGCCTTCTTCCTCCTCTTCTTCACTTTCATCTTTTCTTCCTTTCCTCTCTTTCTTCTTCTTTCTCTTCTCTTCTCCTCTTCTTCACCTTTCTTCTCCCTTTCTTCACTTCTTCTTTCTCTCTCCTCCTCTCTTCACCTCCTTTTTCCTCTTCTTTTTCACCTTCCTCCTCTTCTTTATGTTCTCATCTCTCTCTTCTTTCTTCTTCTTCTTCTTCTCCCTCCTCCTCCTCCTTCTTCACCTTCTTTCTCTCCTCTTCTTCTCCTTTCCTCCTCCTCCTCCTCTTCTTCACCTTTGTCTTATTCTTCTCCTTCTTCAATTCTTCTTTCTCCTTCTCCTCCTCTTCACCTTCTCCTTCACCTCCTTTTTCCTCCTCTTCTTCACCTTCTTCCTCTCCTTCTTCCTCTCCCCCTTCTTCCTCTTCCTCCTCCTCTTCTTCACTTTCATCCTATTCTTCTTCACCTTAACCCTCTCTTTCACCTTCTTCTTTCTCTTGTGCTTCTTCCTCCTCTTCTTCACCTTCATCTTATTCTTCTTCACCTTCCTCTTTCTCCTCCTCCTCTTCTTCACCTCCTTTTTCCTCTTCTTTTTCACCTTCCTCCTCTTCTTTATGTTCCCTCTGAATCTCTCCTCAGGTTCTTCTTCTTCTTCACCTTTTTCTTCCTCTTTTTCTTAATCTTCTTCTTCACCTTCTTCTTAACCTTCTGCTTCTTCTTCCCCTCCTCTACTTCTTGCACTTCCTCATCTTCTTCCTCTTCTTCTTTTTCACCTTCTTCCTCTTCTTCTTAGCCTTCTTCGTAACATTCACCTTCTTTCTCCTCCTCCTCCTCTTCTTTACCTTCTTCCTCTTCCTCCTTCTCCTATTCTTCACTTTTATCCTATTCTTCTTCACCTTAACCCTCTCTTTCACCTTCTTCTTTCTCTTGTGTTCTTCCTCCTTCTTCTTCTTCACTTCCTCTTCTTCTTCTTCCCCTCTCCTCTTTCTTCACCTTCCTTCTCTACACCATCCTTCCTCCTCATGCTGCATTATTCAACTTCGCCTGCACACATTTTCTCCTCTTCTTCTTTCTTCCTCTTCTTCTCCTTCTCCTTCTACTTCTTATGTTTTCCTTCTACTTCTCTCCCTTCTCCTTCTCCTTCTTCTTCTTCATCCTCCTTTTCTTCCTCCTCCTTCTTCTCTTTCTTCTCATTTTTTCCTTCTTCTTCTTCATCCTCCTTCTCTTCCTCCTTCTCCTTCATCTCCTTTTTTCCTTCTTTTTCACCTTCCTCCTCTTCATCTTTTTCTCCCCTCTTCTTCTTTACCTTCTTCCCCTCATTCTTTTCTTCACCTTCTTCTTTCGCTCTTTCACCTTCTTCTTCTTACTACATGGATTTATTTACTGCATTTCTATACCCTTGGGGGTACAGCTTATTTTTCTTCACCTTCTTCCTCTAATTCCTCTCCCTTTTCTTCTCCTTCACCTCCTTCCTCTTCTTTACCTTCTTCTTTTTCCTCCTCTTCTTCTTCACTTTCTTTTTTCTCTTTTTTTCTTTACCTCCTTCCTCTTCTTTGTCTTCTTCCTCACCTTCTTCCTCTTGCTCCTCCTCCTTGTCTTCACTTTTGCCCTACTCTCCTTAACCTTCTCCCACTTTTTCACCTTCTTCCTCCTCTTCTTCTTTCTCTTTTCCTTCACCTTCTTCTTTCTCTCCTTCACCTTCCTCTTCCTCCTCCTCCTCCTTTTCTTCCTCTTCTTCCTCTCCGCCTTCTTCTTCTCCTCCTTCACCTCCTTCTTCCTCTTCTCCTCCCGTCCAGGTCAGCACTCCCTTCTTCCCAGGGAACTTCCAGGGCTTTGCGCTGGTCAACCGGCAGCACAGCGCCCGCGTCCAGACTGGCTTCACGGTGGAGATGGCCCCCGAAGGGCCGCAGCTCTCCTTCGGCCGCTTTGGGCAACTGGGCCAGGAGGCCTATTACTGGCAGTTGCCGGATGCCTACCTGGGGGACAAGGTGAGCGGGAAGCACTTTCCCAAAAGCCGGTGGAAGTAAAAGAGGGTAAGGAGGAAATATGCATACACACACATACAGATATATGACGAAAGGAGGATCTGTCCACAAAAGAGTTCTACTCCATCTTTATCCCCGAATGCATCCTTTCCAGGGATTTCTTCCTGCGGCAATTTCCCCTCTGTTTCCTCACTCTTTCTCTCCTTCCTTCCTTCTTTCTCTCCCGCCTGGGCTTTTGAGCAGAAGGAGACCTATTTCGCCCGGATGCGACGGGCACACAAGGTACGCAGGACGGGGATGCATGAATCCAACCACAATGATGTGGCTTTGCGTGTTTGTGTGTGTCCGAATTGACTCGCTTGATGGAACCAGATGAGAAAAAGTTGGCTTTTGGATGATCGGAAAGGCTAGTCGTTGCGGCTCCCAGTGCCTCTGTTTCCCCTATGTACAGGCCGTCCCCAAGTTACAAAAACCCAAATTAGAAATGACTCTAAGTTAAGAATGGGGCTGAGACAACAGGAATTGAGAGGAATCTTATATTTTTATCACACCCCAGGCCTGAAACCACAACATGGAGAACTCCTAGAATACTTAAACCAAGACTTGAACAAGAACTAGAGAACTCAGGTCTAGCTATACTTGAAAGCCATGTTGCCTAAACTGAGTGCACATTATTATGCCTTCAAATTGACTTTGACTTCCCTAGGCACAGACGTCAATATTATTATTATTATGCCTTCAAATTGACTTTGACTTCCCTAGGCACAGACATCATCATCATCATCATCATCATCATTATTTTTTATTATGACTTCCAATTTAAATAATAATAATAATGGCCCAAGTTACAAACACTTAAATTACAAATGAATGGGACTGAGACAACAGGAATTGAAAGGAATCTTATATTATTATCGCACCCCAGGCCTGAAGGCACAACATGGAGAACTCCCAGAATACTTAAACCAAGACTTGAAACAAGAACTAGAGAATTCAGGTCTAGCTATACTTGAAAGCCACGTTGCCTGAACTGAGTGAACATTATTTTTATTATGCCTTCAAATTGACTTTGACTTCTCTAGGCACAGACGTCAATATTATTATTATTATTATGCCTTCAAATTGACTTTGACTTCCCTAGGCACAGACGTCAATATTATTATTATGATGATGACTTCAAATTGACTTTGACTTCTCTAGGCACAGACGTTATTATTATTATTATTATTATTATTATTATTATTATGACTTCAAATTGACTTTGACTTCCCTAGGCACAGGCACCATCATCGTTATTATTATTATTATTATGACTTCAAATTTAAATAATAATAATAATAATAATAATAATAATAATAATAATAATAATAATATAACCCAAGTTACAAACACTTAAATTACAAATGAATGGGGCTGAGACAACAGGAATTGAAAGGAATCTTATATTATTATCGCACCCCAGGCCTGAAGGCACAACATGGAGAACTCCCAGAATACTTAAACCAAGACTTGAAACAAGAACTAGAGAATTCAGGTCTAGCTATACTTGAAAGCCACGTTGCCTAAACTGAGTGCACGTTATTATTATTATGCCTTCAAATTGACTTTGACTTCCCTAGGCACAGACGTCAATATTATTATTATGATGATGACTTCAAATTGACTTTGACTTCTCTAGGCACAGACGTTATTATTATTATTATTATTATTATTATTATTATTATTACTTCAAATTGACTTTGACTTCCCTAGGGATAGACATCAATATTATTATTATTATTATTATTATTATTATTATTATTATTACTTCAAAATGACTTTGGTATTAATCTCAAAATAATAATAATAATGACCCAAGTTACAAACACCTAAATTACAAATGACTCTAAGTTAAGAATGGGGCTGAGACAACAGGAATTGAGAGGAATCTTATATTTTTATCACACCCCAGGTCTGAAGCCACAACATGGAGAACTCCCAGAATACTTAAACCAAGACTTGAAACAAGAACTAGAGAACTCAGGTCTAGCTATACTTGAAAGCCACGTTGCCTAAACTGAGTGCACGTTATTATTATTATGCCTTCAAATTGACTTTGACTTCCCTAGGCACAGACATCATCATCATCATTATTTTTATTATGGCTTCCAATTTAAATAATAATAATAATGACCCAAGTTACAAACACTTAAATTACAAATGAATGGGACTGAGGCAACAGGAATTGAGAGTAATCTTATATTATGATCGCACCCCAGGTCTGAAGCCACAACATGGAGAACTCCCAGAATACTTAAACCAAGACTTGAAACAAGAACTAGAGAATTCAGGTCTAGCTATACTTGAAAGCCACGTTGCCTGAACTGAGTGAACATTATTATTATTATGCCTTCAAATTGACTTTGACTTCCCTAGGCACGGACGTCAATATTATTATTATTATTATTATTATTATTATTATTATTATTATTATTATGCCTTCAAATTGACTTTGACTTCCCTAGGCACAGACATCATCATTGTTATTATTATTATTATTATTATGACTTCAAATTTAAATAATAATAATAATAATAATAATGACCCAAGTTACAAACACTTAAATTACAAATAAATGGGACTGAGACAACAGGAATTTAGAGGAATCTTATATTATTATCACACCCCAGACCTGAAACCACAACATGGAGAACTCCCAGAATACTTAAACCAAGACTTGAAACAAGAACTAGAGAACTCAGGTCTAGCTATACTTGAAAGCCATGTTGCCTAAACTGAGTGCACATTATGATGTCTTGAAATTGACTTTGACTTCCCTAGGCACAGACGTCAATATTATTATTATTATTATTATTATGACTTGAAATTGACTTTGACTTCCCTAGGCACAGACATCATCATCATCATCATTATTATTATTATTATTATTATTATTATTATTATTATTATTTGTTTTTTAACACTATTATTATTATTATTATTATTATTATTATTATTATTATTATTATTATTAATATGACTTCAAATTGACTTTTACTTACCTAGGCATAGACATTATTATTATTATTATTATTATTATTATTATTATTACTTCAAAATGACTTTTACTTCCCTTGGTATTAATCTCAAAATAATAATAATAATGACCCAAGTTACAAACACCTAAATTACAAATGACTCTAAGTTAAGAATGGGGCTGAGACAACAGAAATTAGAGGAATCTTATATTATGATCGCACCCCAGGCCTGAAACCACAACATGGAGAACTCCCAGAATACTTAAACCAAGACTTGAAACAAGAACTAGAGAACTCAGGTCTAGCTATACTTGAAAGCCACGTTGCCTAAACTGAATGCACGTTAGCTACTAATAAACAGACATGAAAGCATGATGTCTGCCCTGGAATTTCTGCTTCCCATAAAGCCAGAACTCAGGCCTAGCTGTACTCGAAAGCCACATTGCCTAAACTGAGTGCACGTTAGCTCCTAATAAACAGACATGAAAGCATTACATCTGCCCTAGAATTCCTTCTTCCCACGAAGCCAGAACTCAGGCCTGGCTGTACTCGAAAGCCACGTTGCCTAAACTGAGTGTACATTCGCTCCCAATAAACAGACGTGAAAGCATGACGTCTGCCCTGGAATTCCTACTTCCCAAGAAGTCAGAACTCAGGCCTAGCTGTACTCAAAAGCCACATTGCCTAAACTGAGTGCACGTTAGCTCCTAATAAACAGACATGAAAGCATTACATCTGCCCTAGAATTCCTTCTTCCCACGAAGCCAGAACTCAGGCCTGGCTGTACTCGAAAGCCACGTTGCCTAAACTGAGTGTACATTCGCTCCCAATAAACAGACGTGAAAGCATGACGTCTGCCCTGGAATTCCTACTTCCCAAGAAGTCAGAACTCAGGCCTAGCTGTACTCAAAAGCCACATTGCCTAAACTGAGTGCACGTTAGCTCCTAATAAACAGACATGAAAGCATGACGTCTGCCCTGGAATTTCTGCTTCCCACGAAGCCAGAACTCAGGCCTAGCTGTACTCGAAAGCCACGTTGCCTAAACTGAGTGCGCGTTAGCTCTTAATAAACAGACATGAAAGCTTTACGTCTTCCCTGGAATTTCAGCTTCCCACAAAGCCGCATTGACCTGGCTGCTGTGACTGTTGCTGAACTTCAACAATTATGCATTATTATATTGTATTATATTATTATATTATATATTATTAATTTTATACACACACACACAGGCATCCCCAAGTTACAAACATCCACCTTACAAACGACTCCTAGTTAAGAACGGGGCTGAAACAACAGGGAGAGAAATCTTCTCCTTGGAAGGGAAATCTCCTGAAAGAGTCATTATCGGGGGAAAGGTGTCTCCACTGAAGCTTTATCCCCAATCCTTGTTTCCACAACAAGCCAATTTTTTAAAAAATCCAGTTCTTGTCACAGGGGTGGACAAGAAGAAAGAGTAAAAACACACACAGCACTCCTGCTAGGTTGGCACATGAATTTAACCCTTTCACAGTCTCCTCTACTTGCGCAATGAGACGGACTGTCTCCAAGGCAAGCAGTTAGTTCTGATACCCGAAACACTGCAGTCTTGGTCACAATTAGCAGAGATTTCATATCATAGCCTCTGACCTTGTATAGTAGCTCACCATCTTCAATAGGCACACTTGAGCTCTGCCTTTCATCCAAACTCCTTTGAAGGTTTATTCTTCAGTCATTGCTACATACCACTATTTACAGGTCTACTGTTAGTATATAGAGATACTCACAATCATAGCAAGACATTCAACAAGGATGGCGATGGATTACAGATGCAGAGATATCATGGTGAGTGGTAAAAGATGGCAGAGAGATGGCAGATCACATACAAGCCACTTCCCTTCTTCACTCCAGGGATCACAGGAAATGACTCAGCCGTCCCTCTAGGATCGTGTCTCTACTTTCTTAAACCTTACAGTGGACTGTGCTGCGAACACATGTGCATTAGAACTGTATTTCTCCAATCTTGTTTCTGGGGACTGCCCGTACTTGCATTTGCATCCCTTTCGGTGGAGTTTGATGCCGCTTGTTTTGTAGACAAGGCATGTGGCATCTTGCATCTTGGCTGTGTTTTGGGGATTGTCCCTGGAATGTCCTGGAATGGGACAAGGAGGGATGCGGAACGAGGAGGAGAAAAGGGGTGCCCGCCTTGCTTGGGATTTGGGGTCCGGCCATTTCCAGTGCGCCAACCCCGTGGTTGTGTCCCGCCCGGCAGAACTCCACCTCCTTCACGGAGGAGCAGCTGCGGAAGGATGTGGCGGCCGGACGGATCCCCGGCTCCAGGGGTGGCCCAAGCAGGGCCCGACGGGCCACGCAGGTAGGGCCACAGACCCCATTTTGGGTGTGGTTTCCTCTCCCTTCTCTTTGTGGGGCCTCTTGAGCTCTTCCTCTCCTTCCTCTCTCTCCTCTTGTGCCTCTGTTTCTCTTTCTCTCTTCCTCTGTCTCTTTCTTCAGGACCGGGAAATCCAACGGAAGCAGGATGCGGTGGTTTGGGAGATGCTCTCCAGCTTTGCCAAAGGGAGGGCAGCTTCTCCCCGCAAGGAGGGCGGACCCACAAAGCTCTCCTCCTCACCCCCTGGGCCCCCACCTCCCGCTCCCCCATACTCTCTGGACCCTGCGGCACAAGCAGCCAGACCACCACCTGTTCTGGCCGCTGCTCCTGGCTCATGGCGACCCCAGGTACCGCGTCTTCCTTCCATCTATCCATCCTTCCCAATCTCTTCCTCCTTCCTTCCTTCCTTCCCTCCCTCCCTCCCTTCCTTCCTTCCTTCCTCCTTCTTCTTCCTTCCTTCCTTCTTCCTTCCTCTTCTTTCCCTTCTCTTCCTCCTTCCTTCCTTCCTTCCTTTCTTCATTCCTTCCTTCCTTCCTTCTTCCTCATCCCTTCCTTCCTCCTTTCTTCCACTTCCTTCCTTTCTTTGCCCCTTTCAGATCCTTCCCAATCTCTTCCAGTTTCCTTCCTTCCTTTCTCCCTTCCACAGTCTGCATTATCTCTCTCCCTCCCTCCCAGCCACTTCCACCTTCCTTCCTTCCTTCCTTCCTTCCTTCCTTCCTTCCTTCCTTCCTTCCTCCCTTCCTTCCTTTTTTTCTTTCCTTCCTTCCTTCTATCCCTCCTTCCCAGCCACTTCCACCTTCCTTCCTTCCTTCCTTCCTTCCTTCCTTCCTTCCTTCCTTCCTTCCTTCCTTCCTTCCTTCCTTCCTCAATGTGCCCCTTATTTGCATCCTTCTTGGCGTCTTCCACTTTCCTTCCTTCTTGCATCCTTCCCAATCTCTTCCAGTTCCCTTCCTTCCTTTCTCCCTTCCACAATCTGCATTATCCTCCCTCCCTCTCTCCCAGCCACTTCCACCTTCCTTCCTTCCTTCCTTCCTTCCTTCCTTCCTTCCTTCCTTCCTTTCTTCCTTCCATAATCCCTTTCTTCCTTTATCTCTCCTTCCCAGCCACTTCCTCCTTCCTTCCTTCCTTCCTTCCTTCCTCCTTCCTTCCTTCCTTCCTTCCTTCCTTCCTTCCTTCCTTCCTCAATGTGCCCTTATTTGCATCCTTCTTGGCGTCTTCCACTTTCCTTCCTTCTTGCATCCTTCCCAATCTCTTCCAGTTCCCTTCCTTCCTTTCTCCCTTCCACAATCTGCATTATCCTCCCTCCCTCTCTCCCAGCCACTTCCACCTTCCTTCCTTCCTTCCTTCCTTCCTTCCTTCCTTCCTTCCTTCCTTCCTTCCTTCCTTCCTTCCTTCCTTCCTCAATGTGCCCCTTATTTGCATCCTTCTTGGCGTCTTCCACTTTCCTTCCTTCTTGCATCCTTCCCAATCTCTTCCAGTTCCCTTCCTTCCTTTCTCCCTTCCACAATCTGCATTATCCTCCCTCCCTCTCTCCCAGCCACTTCCACCTTCCTTCCTTCCTTCCTTCCTTCCTTCCTTCCTTCCTTCCTTCCTTTTCTTCCTCTCCCTCCTTTCCAGCCACTTCCACCTTCCTTCCCTTCCTTCCTTCCTTCCTTCCTTCCTTCCTTCCTTCCATAATCCCTTTCTTCCTCTATCCCTCCTTCCCAGCCACTTCCACCTTCCTTCCTTCCTTCCTTCCTTCCTTCCTTCCTTCCTTCCTTCCTTCCTTCCTTCCTCAATGTGCCCCTTATTTGCATCCTTCTTGGCGTCTTCCACTTTCCTTCCTTCTTGCATCCTTCCCAATCTCTTCCAGTTCCCTTCCTTCTTTTCTCCCTTCCACAATCTGCATTATCCTCCCTCCCTCTCTCCCAGCCACTTCCACCTTCCTTCCTTCCTTCCTTCCTTCCTTCCTTCCCTATCCTTCTCTCTCTCCCTCCCTCTCCTTCCACTTCCTTCCTTCCTTCCTTCCTTCCTTCCTTCCTTCCTTCCTTCCTTCCTTCCATAATCCCTTTCTTCCTCTATCCCTCCTTCCCAGCCACTTCCACCTTCCTTCCTTCCTTCCTTCCTTCCTTCCTTCCTTCCTTCCTTCCTTCCTTTCTTCCTTCCCTCCTTCCCCCTTCCAACTTCACTCCTTTTTCCTTCCTTCCTTTTTCCTTTTTTTTTTCTTCCTTCCTTCCTTCCTTCCTTCCTTCCTTCCTTCCTCAATGTGCCCCTTATTTGCATCCTTCTTGGCGTCTTCCACTTTCCTTCCTTCTTGCATCCTTCCCAATCTCTTCCAGTTCCCTTCCTTCCTTTCTCCCTTCCACAATCTGCATTATCCTCCCTCCCTCTCTCCCAGCCACTTCCACCTTCCTTCCTTCCTTCCTTCCTTCCTTCCTTCCTTCCTTCCTTCCTTCCTTCCACAATTTCCCCTTTCTTGCATCCGTCCCAACCTCTCCCGCCTTTCTTGCCTCCATCCTTTCCTCTGCCACCTTCTTTCTTTCCCTTCCTTCCTCTTCCTCTTCCCCTCCTTCCTCTGCCTTGACTTCCCTTCTTCCTCTTCTCTCGTCTCAAGACCCACCGGCAGGGCCTCTCTATGAGCCGGGCCACGGACCCCTCCACCAACCTGCTTGCTTCCCCCCAGGACCCTTTGGGGGGCCCCTCCAAGGTATCCCTGTGCCTGTGGTTGCATGCATATTGGGGGTGGCGTGTCCACATGCGTTTGTATGCGTGTGCAAAGCAGGTGGGGGCAAGAAGTGCCCCCGAGTGATGGCAAACGCATTGTCGGAGGGGGTCTTTGCACCAGAATTGAAGTCTTATTTCTCTTGTGGGTGGTCTTCCTCCTGCTTTGGCTCCCCACTCCCCTCTCGCCTCTTCTCTGTCCCAGCGCTGGCTCTTCTACAAGGGCTTCTCTCTCCTTCCGGAAGTTACTTTCTACTGGGAGCTGCCCAAGGCCTTCCTGGGGGACAAGGTAACATTTCCTGCCTTTGGGGAGGGATGGCGTCTTACGCCGGAATCAGGACTGTGAGTCCCAGAGGGTCGAGGGAGGGGATGAATGTCCCACCTGGCAGGGCTGGCGTACTTTGGAAAAGCTTCTTTCCTTTCCTTTTCCTCGGCTTTTAGTCTCCACAACAGAAATGGAAAGACAATAGGAGAGTAAATCATACAAAACAGGATAAAGATGGGTCAGATCGGTAGGACTTAGTAAGGAGCTTAGTGGGCACGACGAAATCTATCTTACAGATAGAAGAGGGCAGGCTAGAAAGGTTGACAATGCAATAATGGTCCATTAAGGGTTGTATCATATATAGGTCAATGATTCCCTTCTTCTTGCCTCTTTTGCAGGTCGGATCCTATGGCGGGCGCCTTCGCTACACTCTGTCCTACACCGCGGGGGTGAGAGGAACGCCGTTGCCGGACGCCGATGTGCAAATCACCGTAAGAAAAAAGAGAGACAAATATCTTTTTTTGGGGGGGGGGTCTCTATCCTCTGGGGGGGGGGGTCGGAACCCAGACGCCTTAAAGAGCCAGACTCAGAAGTATGTCCAAAACAACCGTTCATTAAAGCAAAGTAAACAGGACTTTGAGACACTTGCTTCAGTGCCTCTGGCCGAAACTCAAAAGGTGTAGCAATTTCTAGCTTGTAAAACAAACTCTTTTGGCAGTCCTCGAGTTACAAGTATCCAGCTTACAAGTGACTCCTAGTGCGAATGTGGGAACCCAGGCGCCTTAAAGAGCCAGACTCAGGAGTATGTCCAAAACAGCAGTTTATTAAAGCAAAGTAAACAGGACTCAGAGACACTTGCTTCAGTGCCTCTGGTCCAAACTCAAAAGGTGTAGCAATTTCTAGCTTGTAAAACAAACTCTCTCTATATATAGGCAGTCCTCGAGTTACAAGTATCCAGCTTACAAGTGACTCCTAGTTCAGTTGAGACAAGAAGATCTGAGAGAGTTCTTATATATTATTAGTATTATTTTATTTTATTATAAATTATTAGTATTATTATTTAAATATAGGACTGAGATATAAGTAAGTGAGAGAAATCTTATAGTACGGTAGAAACTCAACTTATGAGCACCCCATGTTAAGAGAGTATTGAGTTAAGAGCTGCCGCCCAGCCTGGGGGCTGTATTGTATTGTATATATAAATTATTATTATTGTAGTACTGTATACTATTATTATTATTCTGATTCTATTTCTCCGCTGATGTTCCTCCAGGGGAACGACATCACTTTGGTGGCGTACTTATCTGAGCTGAGGCCCCGTGAACGCAAGAGCTTCGAGGTCATCTTCCGGGAGGTGACTACGATTGAAAGTTTGGACGAAGCCCCCGGAGGGATGGATCCCCCTCTTTCTGACCCGCCTTGCTCCGCTCTCCACTGACCCTTCTCATCGTTTTCCCCCCAGCAATTCTGGAAGCGACCTGACGGTCAGCCGGCCACCCGGGAACACCTGATGATGGCCCTGGCTGACCTGGATGAAGTCCTCATCCGGGCCACCTACTCCACGGACATGATCTCAGCGGGCATTGCGGGTGTCTCCATGGAGACGGCCGTGCCCACCTACACCAGCCTCCCACGGGCTCTGGAGGTGGAGGAGTGCCGCTGCCCACCGGGGTACCAGGGCCTCTCATGCCAGGTGAGTCAAGCCAGCTGGGCCCGGAATGGGATGGGCAGAGGCCATCATCAGAGGTCTGTGTAGGCTCTGAGGATGAGGATTTTCTGGTTGAGCCTGGTGTTTTTAAAAAGGACCTCAAAACCTGGCTCTTCCGCTGTGCCTTTGAGGAGTAGGTATACAGTTTCACATTACTGTTCAGCCTCAAGTTCTGTCATCGGAATATTGTCCCCTCTCCTCATGGGAAAGCCTGCTTCCACAACCCCCCTCCCCCCTATAATTGAGCTCTCCTCCACAAATTACCTGCTTCTCTTCTTTATTTCACCCGAGTTTTTAATTAGTTTTAATCAGTTTGTCTTTTAATCATTACATGTAGCCTGCCCATTATTATTTTGTCTGTGCTTATTGTAATTTTTACATTGTTATGTATGCATATGTTTTACGTTAATATGATGTTATTTATTTATTTACTATGCTTCTATACCGCTATTCTCAAGGGCGACTCATGGCGGTTTACAAAATGGCACAATTCGATGCCCACAACAATACAAAAATAATTTAAACATTAAAAACATTTAACATTGTTTAACATTATTGTTTATTTAACATTATTATTTATTGTTCGCGTTTTCGGTTTGTGTTTTGGTTTTTTCTTTACTGTAATTGTTGTTTGGGCTTTGCCTCATATAAGCTGCTCCGAGTCCCTATCAGGGAGATGGTGGCGGGGTATAAATAAAGATTATTATTATTATTATTATTATTATTATTATTATTCTGTGGGGGAAAGCGAAAATGTTTTTGAGATGATGGGAATGTTTTGAATACATCTGTTGTTGGAGAAACAGGCAATGATTTTCATGAGACTAAGCCAGGGATTGACTCTGAAAGGAATGTGGAGGAGACAGAGGGTTACCGATAACCCGATGTTTACAGCTTAGAAGGGATAGTGCAAAACAGAGACAAATTAGTTGTTCCCAGAGGCTGAAAGAGAATCAATGGGAACCCAGGTGTGAGAAAGGGTAATGTCATTGGGCAAGCAGTGTTTGGTGGGTAGATCAACATTGGATTTTCATGTGTCAAGTTACCTGTCTAGGAGTTATCTTCTTGGATTTGGATTTTAGTGAATGCTTAGTCTGCTTATTTTGAACTCTATTTTGATACTGTTTTTGTATTAGATACCCCTTTTTAATAAACTTATTGTTGATCTGTATGATGTTTGGGTGAAAGGGGGATCAAGCAGGCGGCTGGGTGGCAACAAAAGGTGAGTCCAGCAAGGTTGAGGAAACCCTCTCCTCTTCCTCCACCGCAGGACTGTGCCTCCGGATATACGCGCACCGGCGGAGGTCTCTACCTGGGCCATTGCGCGCTGTGTGAATGCAATGGACACTCCGATTCGTGCCACCCAGAGACAGGGGCCTGTTCGGTGAGCAAATTGTCTTTCTCCTTATTCTTTGTCTTCCTCTTTTCTCCCCATTCCGTTTACTTTTATCCTGTTTATATCTCTTCATTGAGACATAAAGTGTCTCGCAGCCATAAAGAACAATTTCAATTCAAAATCCACAAATCTTCCTCGGATTGTGGCCTTCCGAAATGACCTGCAATGTCCATCTCGCTTGCTTTGTCTCTTTACGAACTAAAAGCAAAAGGGATCATGCAGTTCTAGAGTTTGAAGGCAGCCTAAGTGTGTCTATTGGGAGAGCCAGTATTCCAGAGGACAGGAGCAGAATTCAAAACAATTTTGACAGATGAGAGAGATGATTGTCCAAAACTAACAAAATGAAGTTCAACAGGGACAAATGCAAGATACTCCACTTAGGCAGAAAAAAACGAAATGCAAAGAGACAGAATGGGGGACAATGCCTGGCTCGAGAGCAGGACGTGTGAAAAAGATCTTGGAGTCCTCGTGGACAACAAGTTAAACATGAGCCAACAATGTGATGTGGCGGCAAAAAAAGCCAATGGGATTTTGGCCTGCATCAATAGGAGCCTAGTGTCTAGATCTAGGGAAGTCATGCTCCCATGCTCTATTCTGCTTTGGTTAGACCACACCTGGAATATTGTGTCCAATTCTGGGCACCACAATTCAAGAGAGATATTGACAAGCTGGAATGTGTCCAGAGGAGGGCGACTCAAATGATCAAGGGTCTGGAGAACAAGCCCTATGAGGAGCGGCTTAAGGAGCTGGGCATGTTTAGCCTGAAGAAGAGAAGGCTGAGAGGAGATATGATAGCCATGTATAAATATGTGAGAGGAGGGAGCAAGCTTGTTTTCTGCTTCCCTGGAGACTAGGACGCAATGGAACCATGGCTTCAAACTACAAGAGAGGAGATTCCATCTGAACATGAGGAAGAACTTCCTGACTGTGAGAGCCGTTCAGCAGTGGAACTCTCTGCCCCGGAGTGTGGTGGAGGCTCCTTCTTTGGAAGCTTTTAAACAGAGGCTGGATGGGCATCTGTCAGGGGTGCTTTGAATGCAATATTCCTGCTTCTGGGCAGAATGGGGTTGGACTGGATGGCCCATGAGGTCTCTTCCAACTCTAGGATTCTATAATCTGACACTATTGAAGGTCTGCCATCAAAGGACGCCTTCCAGCCTTGGTTGACAAGGTGCCATCGGTCTTCTCAAACAATGTCCCCTGCGTGAAATAATCTCTTCCTGCTCCTTGCAGAGCTGCTTGCACCATGCAGACGGTGAATTCTGCGAGCGGTGTGCCCCCGGTTTCTATGGAGATGCCACGGCCGGGACTCCCGAGGACTGCCAGCCTTGTGCCTGCCCACTGCCCGATCCGGAGAATCAGTAAGCCCAGAGTCTCTCTTTAGTATCCGAAAGAACGGTCCTTTGAGAAAACCAAGGGGGGTTCAGTTGGGTGAGCAGATAGGGGAGTCTATCTGAAGTCAGTATTGAGGGACCTCTACCTGAAGTCAATGCCAAGTGAAGTCAGGTTGTGTTGGGACCTTGCATTGGTCAAGGACTCAATGGAGGTATGGCTTTCTCCCTCCAGGTTCTCCCGGACCTGCGAGAGCCTCGAAGGCGGAGGGTACCGCTGCACCGCCTGCGAACCAGGATACACAGGACAGTACTGTGAACAGTAAGCGTGGCATTACAACTCACTGTTGCCATCTGTCAAGCGTTTGGCTCATGTTACAGCTAAATGTCCTTTGACCAGAAGCTGGCCACTTGGAGTGCCTCTGATGTTGTTTTTTTTCTTCCTTAGGTGTGCCGCAGGTTATGTGGGCAACCCCAACATCCCTGGGCAGAAGTGCGTGCCCCTGGGTGAGTGAGAACCATGTGGCATCATTAATAGTAAATGGTTGCGCCTTCCTTTCGTCTTCCAAGCGCAGGGCTGACCCTCTCTCCCGTCTTCCTTCAGGTCGTCCTGGCCAGCCCCCGCTTGTTGTGCAGGTCCACCCCCCACGGACGGCCGTCTCTCAAGGCAGTGTGGTGTCTCTCCGCTGTCATGTCAGTGGGGCTCCTCCCCATTATTTCTATTGGTCCCGGGAGGACGGGCGCCCTGTGCCAGGCACTGCCCAGCGCAAGCATCAAGGTGAGCTTCCCACCTCAAAAATCAGCATCCAAAACACAGGTCTGCGGATGCCAAGTCAAGGCAGAGCAAAGTCTGGCTGGTTAACGAGAGTCCAAGTCAGTTGGAAATCGATGAGTGAAGTCAGTGTTGAGGGAAGTCAATCAGAAGTCAATGCCGATTAAAGTCAGTGCCAAGTGGTCAATCTGAAGTGTTGAGGAAAGTCAGTGTTGAGGAAAGTCAATCTGAAGTCAGTGTTTAGTGGAGTCAAACTGAAGTCAATGTCAAGTGAAGTCAATCTGAACTTAGTGTTGGGCAAAGTCAATTTGAAGCCAATGCTGAGTGAAGTCAATCTGAAGTCAGTGTTGAAGGACGTCAATGCCAAGTGAAGACGATCTGAAGTTAGTGTTGAGGGGGTCAATCTGAAGTCAATGCCAAGTGAATTCAATCTTAACTCAGTGTTTAGTGAAGCAGTGTTGAGGAAAGTTAATGCTGAGTGAAGTCAGGCTGAAATCCATGTTGAGGGAAGTCAACCTGAAGTCAGTGCCAAGGGAAGTCAATCTAAAGTCAGTATTGAGGGAACTCTACCTGAAGTCAATGCCGAATGAAGTCAGTGCCAAGTGGTCAATCTAAAGTGTTGAGTAAAGTCAGTGTTTAGTGGAGTCAAATTGAAGTCAGTGTTGAAGGACGTCAATGCCAAGTGAAGACAATCTGAAGTCAGTGTTTAGTGAAGCTAATCTGTAGTCAATGCCAAGTGTTCAATTAGAAGTCAGTGTTGAGGAAAGTTAATGCTGAGTGAAGTCAGGCTGAAATCCGTGTTGAGGGAAGTCCACCTGAAGTCAGTGCCAAGGGAAGTCAATCTAAAGTCTATATTGAGGGAACTCTACCTGAAGTCAGTGCCGAGGGAAGTCAATCTGAAGTCAGTATTGAGGGAAGTCAGTGGCAAGGGAAGTCAGTCTGAAGTCAATGATGAGGGAAGTCAATCTGAGGTCAATGCCGAGTGAAGTCAATCTGAAGTCAGTATTGAGGGAGCTTAATCTGAAATCAGTGCTAAGTGAAGTCAATCTGAAGTCAGTGTTGAGGGAAGTCAAAGGCAATCTGAATGCCGAGTGAAGTCAATCTGAAGTCTGTATTGAGGGAACTCTACCTAAAGTCAATGCCGAGTGAAATCAATCTGAAGTCAGTATTGAGGGAACTCTACCTGAAGTCAATGCCAAGTGAAGTCAACCTGAAGTAAATGCCAAGTTAAATCAATCTGAAGTCAGTATTGAGGGAAGTCAGTGGCGAGGGAAGTCAGTCTGAAGTCAATCTGAGGTCAGTGCCAAGTGAAGTCAATCTGAAGTCAGTATTGAGGGAGCTTAAGCTGAAGTCAATCTGAGGTCAATGCCGAGTGAAGTCAATCTGAAATTAGTATTGAGGGAGCTTAATCTGTATTGAGGGAACTCTACCTAAAGTCAATGCCGAGTGAAATAAATCTGAAGTCAGTATTGAGGGAAGTCAGTGGCAAGGGGAGTCTATCTGAAGTCAATATCGAGGGACCTCTACCTGAAGTCAATGCCGAGTGAAACCAATCTGAAGTCAGTATTGAGGGAAGTCAGTGGCGAGGGAAGTCAGTCTGAAGTCAATGAAGTCAATCTGAGGTCAATGCCGAGTGAAGTCAATCTGAAGTCAGTATTGAGGGAAGTCAGTGGCGAGGGAAGTCAGTCTGAAGTCAATGAAGTCAATCTGAGGTCAATGCCGAGTGAAGTCAATCTGAAGTCAGTATTGAGGGAGCTTAAGCTGAAGTCAATCTGAGGTCATTGCTGAGTGAAGTCAATGAAGTCAATCTGAGGTCAATGCCAAGTGAAGTCAATCTGAAGTCTGTATTGAGGGAACTCTACCTAAAGTCAATGCCGAGTGAAATCAATCTGAAGTCAGTACTGAGGGAGGTCAGTGGCAAGGGGAGTCTATCTGAAGTCAGTATTGAGGGACCTCTACCTGAACTCAATGCCGAGTGAAGCCAATCTGAAGTCAATGCCAAGTTAAATCAACGTTTAACCAAGTTAAACGTCAGGAGAAATGTCTCTAGAACATGGCCATATAGCCCGAAAAAACCCACAAGAACTAAGTCAGTATTGAGGGAAGTCAGTGGCAAGGGAAGTCAATCTGAAGTCAGTGATGAAGGAAGTCAAAGACAATCTGGATGTTGAGTGAAATCAATTGAAGTGGATGTTTGGGAAATTCGAAGTCAATGTTGAGGGAAGTCAAGCCGATGGAAATCAAAGTCCATGGAAACTCTGCGCCGTGTCTCCTGGTCCACTTGTGCTGGACCATTAGTGAAACTACTCTCAATCAAGGTAGTCCTGGCTTACCTGTGATTGTGTACCCCATCCCATTATCCAGGTATGGAGCTCTACTTCCCCAGCATCCAACCCTCTGAAGCCGGCGTCTACATCTGTACCTGCCGCAACCCGCAGTACTCCAACACCAGCCGGGCCGAGGTGGTTGTCACAGGTGAGCCAAGCTACGACCGGAATTGCTTATTCGTTATGGCTGAGCTACAGAGCTTTCTCTGTAACGTGAGTTTTTGGTCTCTTTGCGGTCAATGCAGAGTCTCCCAGCAAACCCATCACGGTGACGGTGGAGGAGCAGAAAGTGCAGAGCGTCAAGGCCGGAGCCGACGTGACCTTTGTCTGCACCGCAAAGAGCAAGGTGAGTGTCGGTGCGGAAGACCCTCTGGGCTTGTTTGGAAACAGACTCTGCCTTCCTACTTCCCTTCCTCCTTCTTTCCCGCTAGTCTCCGGCCTACACACTGGTCTGGACACGGCCGAACAACGGGAAGCTGCCCAGCCGGGCCATGGACTTCAACGGCATCCTGACCCTCCGCAATGTCCAACCGGAGGACGCCGGGACGTACATCTGCACGGGCTCCAACATGTTCGACATGGACGAAGGGGTGGCCACCCTCTACGTCCAAGGTAGGAGCAACCAGAGGAAGGACCATCTGTCCGTCCGTCCATCCGTCCCTTTCGGTCCGGGGCTCATGCCAGACGGGCACACATGCGGGCACCAGGATGCTTTCACAACACGCTTCTCTGCAGAGACACTGGGGGTTGCGATTCCTAGTTCGGCCTTGGAACATAGATTTGAGAGCAGTTCGGACTAAAGGTCTCTTCCAGCCATTCACTTTCATTGGATCCCAGTCCGGAATTCGCAAAAACCACTTTAAACCAGTAGCCATTCTCCTTTGATCTAGACCAGGCATGGGCAAACTTGGGCCCTCCAGGTGTTTTGGACTTCAACTCCCATATTCAAATCCCATTTATATATATATATATATATATATATATATATATATATATATAGTATTTATATTTATATAAAAATTAATTTATTGTATGTATATAATAATTATTAATAATTATAATAATAATTAATAATTAATATTTATTATTATATTATTAATGGATGTATTATTAATTTATGTGTATATATATAATAAATATTTACGTGTATATATAATAAATAACATCACTCCATGCAGTCATGCTGGCCACATGACCTTGGAGGTGTCTATGGACAACACCGGCTCTTCAGCTTAGAAATGGAGATAAGCTCCAGAGTCAGACACAATTATATAGGTCAGGGGAAAACCTTTACCTATATAATAAATTAATATACCTACACACATATATAAATAATATATAAATTAAGTATAATATAAATTAATATAAATGTATAATAAATTAATGTATTTATACATATATGAATAATACATAAATTATTCTAGTGTAATTAGGAATATATAAATTAAGTATAATATAAATTAATATAAACGTATAATAATATAATAATGTATGAATAATGCATAAATTATTCTAGTATAATTAGGAATATATAAATTAGGTATAATATAAATTAATATAAACGTATAATAAATTAATGTATTTATACATATATAAATAATACATAAATTTTTCTAGTATAATTAGGAATGTATAAATTAAGTATAATATAAATTAATATAAACGTATAATAAATTAATATATTGATACACATATAATACATAATTATTCTAGTATAATTAGGAATATATAAATTAAGTATAAAATAAATTAATATAAATGTATAATAAATTAATGTATTTATACATATATAAATAATACATACATAAATTATTCTAGTATAATTAGGAATATTTAATAAGCAATCTAATATATAGAAATAATTATTATTGTTAGCAGTCGTAGTAATAATAACATTTAATACTGCCTCTCTCTGTGGCTTGAGAGGGCTTCTAGTGTTTCGGAGGAAGTTTCCCTTCTTCACCTTCTCACCCCGTTCTCTTTCCCACACTGCTACTTGTTTCCAGCACCGTCCAAGACCCAGATGTTCTATGGACCCGTAGAAGTGGTGGAAGGCCACCGGCCCTGTAAGTCGGCTTGGCCTCCCGGCGCATGTCCATCCACCTCCAGATTATTCCCCGACAGATCCGGCGTCCTCGGAGCCTTTTCTTTTGCTCTTCTAGTGTTCCCCCGGCATGCGGACATGTCCTTGCTGTACTCTCCCAGCATGCTGTGGGGCCAGCACCGTTCTAGGGCCACGACCGAGTCTCCCCTTTGGGCACATGTTTACTCTTTTGCACCTCCTCCATTTGCACGCGCATGTCGAGCACGGTTGCCCTCCCCCCTTGCACCTGTGTGATTTTGGTGCTGCATTTCACGTCTCTTTGCCTCGAATCCTTCTGATCTCTTCCTCTCCTTTGACAGCCACAGCAGCCGTACCACCAATGGCCGCCATTGAGCCTTCACAGCTGAGCGTCCAGCCCGGGCAGGCAGCCGAGTTCCGCTGTGTCGCCACCGGAAGCCCAGAACCCTCCCTCGAATGGATCGGTAAGGTTTTTTATTGTTTATTTACAGCATTTCTATCCCGCCCTTCTCACCCCTCGGGGAGGGGGAGGACTCAGGGCAGCTAACATAGGCAACAATTCAATGCCAACAATACCAATAAACAACAATATAAAACCATGAATAGATAAAAATTTAAAAATAATATTAGTTAAATAGTCACATCACATAGCCGTTTCTAATTAAGTCTAAGACTCGGAGTTCCTCTGGTGTCGCTGTGAGAAGGTCCTCCGTGGTGCATGTGGTCGCATGTGGTTTGCTCTTCTCCGCACTTGCATGTCACAGACTCCACTTGGTGGCCCCATTTCTTAAGGTTGGCTCTGCATCTCGTGTATCTGGAGGGGATTCTTTAGGTTGAGTCCTTTTATTGTTAGCCAGCTTGGGTCTTACTGTATAAGAAAGAGAAGAAAAAGAAAAGTAAGAAGTAGAAGACGGGTGTCTCATAGTATAATAATAATACTATTCCTTCCTTCTGTAGGGGGGCCGGGCGGTGTCATTCCTCCCAGGGCCGTCATCCGAGGCGGGATCCTGCGTTTCCCGGCGACCGAAGCCTCCGACGAGTCTCAGTACTTGTGCCGCGTGCGCAACAGCGCCGGTCAGCATGTGGCCCGAGCCTTCCTGCAAGTACACAGTACGTCCCGGTCCATCTTGAGAGAGTTCTTTCCCCAAGGGTTAGGTGAACCCGAAATGGGAGAGATGCCTTTCGATCCTTGTGGCCGACCCCAAAAGTCCTTGTGGTTGGGGGTTGACCCGAAATGGGAGAGGTCAACCCGAAATGGGAGAGATGCCTTTCGATCCTTGTGGCCGACCACAAAAGTCCTTGTGGTTGGGGGCTGACCTGAAATGGGAGAGATGCCTTTCGATCCTTGTGGCCGACCCCAAAAGTCCTTGTGGTTGGGGGTTGACCCAAAATGGGAGAAGTCAACCCGAAATGGGAGAGATGCCTTTCGATCCTTGTGGCCGACCCCAAAAGTCCTTGTGGTTGGGGGTTGACCCAAAATGGGAGAAGTCAACCCGAAATGGGAGAGATGCCTTTCAATCCTTGTGGCCGACCCCAAAAGTCCTTGTGGTTGGGGGTTGACCCAAAATGGGAGAAGTCAACCCGAAATGGGAGAGATGCCTTTCGATCCTTGTGGCCGACCCCAAAAGTCCTTGTGGTTGGGGGTTGACCCAAAATGGGAGAGATGCCTTTCGATCCTTGTGGCCGACCCCAAAAGTCCTTGTGGTTGGGGGTGACCCGAAATGGGAGAAGTCAACCCGAAATGGGAGAGATGCCTTTCGATCCTTGTGGCCAACCCCAAAAGTCCTTGTGGTTGGGGGTTGACCCGAAATGGGAGAGATGCCTTTCGATCCTTGTGGCCGACCCCAAAAGTCCTTGTGGTTGGGGGTTGACCCGAAATGGGAGAGATGCCTTTCGATCCTTGTGGCCGACCCCAAAAGTCCTTGTGGTTGGGGGTTGACCCAAAATGGGAGAGATGCCTTTCGATCCTTGTGGCCGACCCCAAAAGTCCTTGTGGTTGGGGGTTGACCCAAAATGGGAGAAGTCAACCCGAAATGGGAGAGATGCCTTTCGATCCTTTTGGCCGACCCCAAAAGTCCTTGTGGTTGGGGGTTGACCCGAAATGGGAGAGATGCCTTTCGATCCTTGTGGCCGACCCCAAAAGTCCTTGCGGTTGGGGGTTGACCCAAAATGGGAAAAATGCGTTTCGATCCTTGTGGCTGACCCCAAAAGTCCTTGTGGTTGGGGGCTGACCCGAAATGGGAGAAGTCAACCCGAAATGGGAGAGATGCCTTTCGATCCTTGTGGCCAACCCCAAAAGTCCTTGTGGTTGGGGGTTGACCCGAAATGGGAGAGATGCCTTTCGATCCTTTTGGCCGACCCCAAAAGTCCTTGTGGTTGGGGGTTGACCCGAAATGGGAGAGATGCCTTTCGATCCTTTTGGCCGACCCCAAAAGTCCTTGTGGTTGGGGGTTGACCCGAAATGGGAGAGATGCCTTTCGATCCTTGTGGCCGACCCCAAAAGTCCTTGTGGTTGGGGTTGACCCAAAATGGGAGAGATGCCTTTCGATCCTTGTGGCCGACCCCAAAAGTCCTTGTGGTTGGGGGTTGACCCAAAATGGGAGAAGTCAACCCGAAATGGGAGAGATGCCTTTCGATCCTTTTGGCCGACCCCAAAAGTCCTTGTGGTTGGGGGTTGACCCGAAATGGGAGAGATGCCTTTCGATCCTTGTGGCCGACCCCAAAAGTCCTTGCGGTTGGGGGTTGACCCAAAATGGGAAAAATGCGTTTCGATCCTTGTGGCTGACCCCAAAAGTCCTTGTGGTTGGGGGCTGACCCGAAATGGGAGAAGTCAACCCGAAATGGGAGAGATGCCTTTCGATCCTTGTGGCCAACCCCAAAAGTCCTTGTGGTTGGGGGTTGACCCGAAATGGGAGAGATGCCTTTCGATCCTTGGCCGACCCCAAAAGTCCTTGTGGTTGGGGGTTGACCCGAAATGGGAGAGATGCCTTTCGATCCTTGTGGCCGACCCCAAAAGTCCTTGCGGTTGGGGGTTGACCCAAAATGGGAAAAATGCGTTTCGATCCTTGTGGCTGACCCCAAAAGTCCTTGTGGTTGGGGGCTGACCCGAAATGGGAGAAGTCAACCCGAAATGGGAGAGATGCCTTTCGATCCTTGTGGCCAACCCCAAAAGTCCTTGTGGTTGGGGGTTGACCCGAAATGGGAGAGATGCCTTTCGATCCTTTTGGCCGACCCCAAAAGTCCTTGTGGTTGGGGGTTGTCCCGAAATGGGAGAGATGCCTTTCGATCATTGTGGCCGACCCAAAAAGTCCTTGCGGTTGGGGGTTCACCAAAAATGGACCCCGAAAGGGCATTCCTTTTGGCCAAATTGCACACCTCTACTGACCGCTCTCCCTGCCCTTTGCTTTGCAGGCGCCACCGTCCCACAGGTCCAGGTGAGTCCGGAGCGGACAGAGGTCCAGGAGGGCAGCACCGTCAGGCTCTACTGCCGGGCTGCCGGGTCCCCCGCGGCCACCATCACCTGGGAGAAGCAAGGAGGGAGCCTGCCTCCCCAGGTAAGGCCAGGAACCCCTCACCTGGAATCCCACTTGGCCCAGTCCTGGCCACCACCAGGTTGACCCTCCAAATGGAGAGGGCTACTAAAAGGAACATAGACTCCTCGAGTTGGAAGAGACCTCACGGGCCACCTAGTCCAAGCCCCTTTGGCCTTCATGCAGGAAAAGCACCACCAAAGCCACCCTCTAAGATGGCCATCCAGCCTCCATCACAGTCCGAGAAGAGAGTGAGACTAGATGGCCGGCCCATGGGGTCTCTTCCAACTATTGTGGGATTCAAGCTGGGGAAGGAAAAGCCGGAGGCACGCAGCGTCATTTCAGGGATGTCCCTCTTTAAATTGGGGGCGTTCCTTTTCCTCCTTCCCTTTCCTGCTCCTCCTCTTCTCGCCTCAGAGTCCAACACATTTCTCTCTCTTCCCACTCCCTTCCTTTATTCCTACCACCTTTCCTTCCTTGCTTCCTCCCTCCCTTCTTCCTTCTACCCCCCTCCTTTCTTCTCCCCTTCTTTCTTTTCTCTTTCTTTCTTTCTTTCTTCCTCTTCTCCTTTCTCTCCTCCTTCCTTCTCTTCCTCTTTTCTTTCTTCCTCCCCTTCCTTCTTTCCTTCTTCTTCCTCTTTCTTCTTCCTTTCTTCTTCCTTCTCTTTTCTTCCTTTCCTTCTTTCTCTCCTTCCCTCCTTCTTTCCCTCTTTCTATCCCACCTTCTTTCCTTCCTTCCTTCCTTCTCTACCCTTCCTTCATTCCTTCCTTCTCTCCTTCCCTCCTTTCCCCCTCTTTCTCTCCCACCTTCTCTCCTTCCTTCCTTCTCTACCCTTTTCTTTCTTTCTTTCTTTCTTTCTTTCTTTCTTTCTTTCTTTCTTTCTTTCTTTGTTCCTTCTTCTTTCTCTTCTTCTTCTTCTTTCCTCTTTTCTTCTTTCTTTCTTTCTTTATTTCCTTTCTTCTCTTTCTTTCTTTCTTTGCCTCCCTCCCTCCCTCCTCCTCTTCCTCCTCTCCCTTCCTTCTCCCTTTCTTCCCTCTTCTTTCCTTCCTTCTTCTTTCTTCTTTTCTCCCCCTCTTTTTTTCCTTCTTCCCTTCCCTCCTCTTCCTTCCTTCCTTCCTTCCTTCCTTCCTTCCTTCCTTCCTTCCTTCCCTACTTCCTTCCTTCCCGCCCTCCTTCCTTCCTTCCTTTCTCCCTCCTTCCTCTCTCCCTCCCTCCATTCCTTTTTCTATCTCCTCCCTCCCTCCCTCCGTCCCTAAATTACTCTACTTGCCTTCGGTTCTCGTCACCTCCACTCCATGAGTTACTTCTTCTTCTTTCAATCACATCACTTTCCTTCAACTCTCCTTTCCCTTCTTTCTGTTCTCCTTCCTTCCTTCCTTCTTCTTTCTTCCTTCCTTCCTTCCTTCCTTCCTTCCTTCCTTCCTTCCTTCCCTCCCTTCCTTCCTTCCTTCCCCTTCCCTCCCTCCCTCCCTCCCTCCCTCCCTCCTTCCTCCCTCCTCTTCTCCCTCCTTTCCTCTCTCCATTTCTCCCTTCCTACTCCACTTCCTCCCTTCCTTCCTTCCTTGGCCAGGCTCTCCCTGTCTTTGGCTTCTTCCACTTCCAAGGGCTGAGCTTGGAGGCTCTCCAGCAGCGGATCCAGCAGATCCAGCAGGTATTCAGACTCGCTCTCCTTGCATCCTTTGCCTGTCCTTCTCTGTCTCTTCCTCCTTCTGTGATTCTCCCAAAGTCTCCCCAAAGAGCGTGTCTGCAACGAGGACGCCTCCTCCAACGGATTGTGTTTGCGTCTTTTGTGTTCTTGCTTTGTGTACCTTCAAGCCATGTATGCTTTTGCTCAGTGGTGTTCCAACCTGTCAACTGTTGGAGAA